ACACACACACGAGTCTGATACACACACACGAGTCTGATACACACACTCCTGCCCGACATCAGACACCCGAAGTGAGTCTGATACACACACACGAGTCTGATACACACACTCCTGCCCGACATCAGACACCCGAAGTGAGTCTGATACACACACATGAGTCTGATACACACACTCCTGCCCGACATCAGACACCCGAAGTGAGTCTGATACACACACACGAGTCTGATACACACACTCCTGCCCGACATCAGACACCCAAAGTGAGTCTGATACACACACACGAGTCTGATACACACACATGAGTCTGATACACACACTCCTGCCCGACATCAGACACCCGAAGTGAGTCTGATACACACACACGAGTCTGATACACACACATGAGTCTGATACAAACACTCCTGCCCGACATCAGACACCCGAAGTGAGTCTGATACACACACACGAGTCTGATACACACACATGAGTCTGATACACACACTCCTGCCCGACATCAGACACCCGAAGTGAGTCTGATACACACACACGAGTCTGATACACACACTCCTGCCCGACATCAGACACCCGAAGTGAGTCTGGTACACACACACGAGTCTGATACACACACTCCTGCCTGACATCAGACACCCGAAGTGAGTCTGATACACACACACGAGTCTGATACACACACACGAGTCTGATACACACACTCCTGCCCGACATCAGACACCCGAAGTGAGTCTGATACACACACACGAGTCTGATACACACACATGAGTCTGATACACACACTCCTGCCCGACATCAGACACCCGAAGTGAGTCTGATACACACACACGAGTCTGATACACACACACGAGTCTGATACACACACACGAGTCTGATACACACACTCCTGCCCGACATCAGACACCCGAAGTGAGTCTGATACACACACACGAGTCTGATACACACACTCCTGCCCGACATCAGACACCCGAAGTGAGTCTGGTACACACACATGAGTCTGATACACACACTCCTGCCCGACATCAGACACCCGAAGTGAGTCTGATACACACACACGAGTCTGATACACACACTCCTGCCCGACATCAGACACCCGAAGTGAGTCTGGTACACACACACGAGTCTGATACACACACTCCTGCCCGACATCAGACACCCGAAGTGAGTCTGATACACACACACGAGTCTGATACACACACTCCTGCCCGACATCAGACACCCGAAGTGAGTCTGATACACACACACGAGTCTGATACACACACGAGTCTGATACACACACTCCTGCCCGATCAGATTGTCAATTGATCAGATTGAAAAACGAAACTGAAAAGAGTGAGCATGTGCAATGACATAGAAATAGCGTAATGACGTAGAAGTAGCGTGATGACGTAGAAATGGCGTAATGATGTAGAAATGGCGTAATGGTGTAGAAATAGCGTAATGATGTAGTAAGGGTGTAGTAATGGTGCAGAAATGGCGTAATGGTGTAGAAATAGCGTAATGATGTAGAAATGGCATAATGGTGTAGAAATAGCGTAATGATGTAGTAATGGTGTAGAAATGGCGTAATGGTGTTTAAATAGCGTAATGATGTAGAAATGGCGTAATGGTGTAGAAATAGCGTAATGACGTAGAAATGGCATAATGGTGTAGAAATAGCGTAATGATGTAGTAATGGTGTAGAAATGGCGTAATGGTGTAGAAATAGCGTAATGATGTAGAAATGGCATAATGATGTAGAAATAGCGTAATGATGTAGTAATGGTGTAGAAATAGCATAATGATGTAGAAATGGCATAATGGCGTAGAAATAGCGTAATGATGTAGTAATGGTGTAGAAATGGCGTAATGGTGTAGAAATAGCGTAATGATGTAGAAATGGCATAATGGTGTAGAAATAGCGTAATGATGTAGTAATGGTGTAGAAATAGCGTAATGATGTAGAAATGGCATAATGGTGTAGAAATAGCGTAATGATGTAGTAATGGTGTAGAAATGGCGTAATGGTGTAGAAATAGCGTAATGATGTAGAAATGGCATAATGATGTAGAAATAGCGTAATGATGTAGTAATGGTGTAGTAATAGCGTAATGATGTAGAAATGGCATAATGGTGTAGAAATAGCGTAATGATGTAGTAATGGTGTAGAAATAGCGTAATGATGTAGAAATGGCATAATGGTGTAGAAATAGCGTAATGATGTAGTAATGGTGTAGAAATGGCGTAATGGTGTATAAATAGCGTAATGATGTAGAAATGGCGTAATGGTGTAGAAATAGCGTAATGACGTAGAAATGGCATAATGGTGTAGAAATAGCGTAATGATGTAGTAATGGTGTAGAAATGGCGTAATGGTGTAGAAATAGCGTAATGATGTAGAAATGGCGTAATGGTGTAGAAATAGCGTAATGATGTAGAAATGGCGTAATGATGTAGAAATGGTGTAATGGTGTAGAAATAGCGTAATGACGTAGAAATGGCGTAATGGTGTAGAAATAGCGTAATGACGTAGAAATGGCATAATGGTGTAGAAATAGCGTAATGATGTAGTAATGGTGTAGAAATGGCGTAATGGTGTAGAAATAGCGTAATGATGTAGAAATGGCGTAATGGTGTATAAATAGCGTAATGATGTAGAAATGGCGTTATGGTGTAGAAATAGCGTAATGACGTAGAAATGGCATAATGGTGTAGAAATAGCGTAATGATGTAGTAATGGTGTAGAAATGGCGTAATGGTGTAGAAATAGCGTAATGATGTAGAAATGGCGTAATGGTGTATAAATAGCGTAATGATTTAGAAATGGCGTAATGGTGTAGAAATAGCGTAATGACGTAGAAATGGCATAATGGTGTAGAAATAGCGTAATGATGTAGTAATGGTGTAGAAATGGCGTAATGGTGTAGAAATAGCGTAATGATGTAGAAATGGCGTAATGGTGTAGAAATAGCGTAATGGTGTAGAAATAGCGTAATGAAATAGAAATAGCGTAGAAATGGCGTAATGATTTAGAAATAGTGTAATGACGTAGAAATAGTGTAATGACGTAGAAATGGCGTAATGACGTAGAAATGTCGTAATGGTGTAGAAAAGACGTAATGGCGTAGAAATAGTGTAGAAATAGCGTAATGGTGTAGAAATAGCGTAGAAATAGCGTAATGACGCAGAAATAGCGTAATGATGTAGAAATAGCGTAAGGACGCAGAAATAGCGTAATGATGTAGAAATAGCGTAATGATGTAGAAATAGCATAATGATGCAGAAATAGCGTAATGACGTAGAAATAGCGTAATGATGCAGAAATAGCGTAATGATGGAGAAATAGCGTAATGATGCAGAAATAGCGTAATGATGGAGAAATAGCGTAATGACGTAGAAATAGCGTAATGATGTAGAAATAGCATAATGATGGAGAAAATAGCGTAATGACGTAGAAATAGCGTAATGATGCAGAAATAGCGTAATGATGGAGAAATAGCGTAATGACGTAGAAATAGCGTAATGATGCAGAAATAGCGTAATGAAATAGAAATAGCGTAATGATGCAGAAATAGCGTAATGACGTAGAAATAGCGTAATGATGTAGAAATAGCATAATGATGGAGAAAATAGCGTAATGACGTAGAAATAGCGTAATGATGCAGAAATAGCGTAATGATGGAGAAATAGCGTAATGACGTAGAAATAGCGTAATGATGCAGAAATAGCGTAATGAAATAGAAATAGCGTAATGATGCAGAAATAGCGTAATGAAATAGAAATAGCGTAATGATGCAGAAATAGCGTAATGATGCAGAAATAGCGTAAATAGCGTAATGATGTAGAAATAGCGTAATGACGTAGAAATAGCGTAATAATGCAGAAATAGCGTAATGAAATAGAAATAGCGTAATGATGCAGAAATAGCGTAATGAAATAGAAATAGCGTAATGATGCAGAAATAGCGTAATGATGCAGAAATAGCGTAATGATGCAGAAATAGCGTAATGATGTAGAAATAGCGCAATGATGCAGAAATAGCGTAATGACGTAGAAATAGCGTAATGATGCAGAAATAGCGTAATGATGTAGAAATTGCGTAATGACGTAGAAATAGCGTAATGATGTAGAAATAGCGTAATGACGTAGAAATAGCGCAATGACGCAGAAATAGCGTAATGACGCAGAAATAGCGTAATGACGTGGAAATAGCGTAATGGGGTAGCAATAGCGCAATGATGCAGAAATAGCGTAATGACGCAGAAATAGCGTAATGATGTAGAAATAGCGTAATGACGCAGAAATAGCGTAATGACGTAGAAATAGCGTAATGATATAGAAATAACGTAATGAAATAGAAATAGCGTAATGGCGTAGCAATAGCGCAATGATGCAGAAATAGCGTAATGACGCAGAAATAGCGTAATGATGTAGAAATAGCATAATGACGCAGAAATAGCATAATGACGTAGAAATAGCGTAATGAAATAGAAATAATGTAATGAAATAGAAATAGCGTAATGACGCATGACGTGCGGATTGAGCTGTTGTTCCTGTTAAATAAAGTGTCGTATAGATGAGTGTCCTGTCGTCCTATAATCCTCCTTTCACTCAGCGGATTCTCATCCACAGACGATTTCTACTGCGTGATCAATATCAGCGGCGGCACAACAGTTCATACGCTCATGTCTCCAAATTATGACCAGAAATGGATAAATATTAAGTCTGCTGTTTAAAACAAATAAAGGACCAATGTAGGAGAATAGGTATTATGCGCAGACATCGGGAAACTGTATATTCGCGCATGTCAAAAGATATTGTGATATAAACGCGCAGATTAACCCGATCACATGTTCAGCGCTCATGTAAACACTACGTTCAGACTCCTCAATCGGGATGAATTCAGTCCGATTGAAACTAAAGCTGTGCATGTAAACGTAGCCAGTGTGGGACTAAATCTGATGCATGTTTTTGAATAACTGGGCATATATTTTTCCTCCGCCAATGAAAACGGTGTGTGTGTGTGTGTGCAGCTGTAAGACGAAGCTGTATGCTGAAGATCTCCCCAACACCAGCATCATCATCCCCTTCCACAACGAGGGCTGGTCGTCTCTGCTGCGCACGGTCCACAGTGTCCTGAAGCGCTCGCCGCCGCAGCTGCTGGCCGAGATCGTGCTCGTCGACGACTTCAGCGACAAGGGTACAGCCGTACAACAGCTCGTCATGCTCAACCCCAGCACACACTGACGGCTAAAACACGGCTAAAAGCCTTCACAGCCCAGACGTCTAGCCTAAAACTAGGCAAAGTTTGGGCTGTCAGTGAACATGTCTAACCACAGCTTAAGAATAGACACACAGAACAGGCCAAAGAAATGAAACCAAACCTTGACTTTGCTTACATGATGGAATATCATACATCTCGCACGTTATTCTGGCAAAAACGACAACCGAATTCAAGGTTATTTTGTCTAGAAGTGTGTTACTCACAGCCGGAGTGTATCGGGTCTATAGTTCACCGAGGCGGGGAAATGGCGGATATTGCTTGCTGGGACCGGACATCAGAAACATTATAATGACTGGGCTGAGCTGTGTGTCATGATGAAATCACTGTAACCTCTCCTGACACTCAGGCCTTGTCCACACGAAAGCGTTTTCATTTGGAAACGCATCTTGTCCTTCCGTTCACACTGAGACGGCGTTTTTATTCATGAAAACGAAGCTTTTTGAAAACGCTCTCCAAAGTGGATAGATTTGTAAGCGCTGTTTTCGTGTTGTAGTGTGGACTGTGGAAACTGAGGGATTTAAAAACGCTGACGTAAGTTTAGTCATGTGACGCATGTTGTACCGATAGATATTCATGTTTATAGCGGTGTAGTGTCTATTATGTGCTGTTCACTTTCACACAGTTGCTGAAATATGTTCCTTCACACACTCTTCATATCACAGTCCTGCACAGATGACAGAGCTCACACACATCTGCTGTCCCGCGGCGAAACATGAGATCAGTTTTAGTGTTTCAGACCAAACATATAATGATGAGTGAGAGCGACCTGACGATCAGTGAATGATGATGAGATAAAATGATCCTGCCAGAAAAATTGCGCGATAACTTGATTATGTAGTTCCGTCTGTATCATCTCAGTGCTTCTGTGAGGGTTTAGCATGCGCAGTAAAGGGGAATTCAGCGCTAGCGTGGACGGAGAGCGCTTTAAGCTAAAGCGGCGTGTACTCGGATGAATGTAGACGCAGCCTGAGCCGGTGTGTTATATGCGTGACAGATGTTAAGCCAGATGATCCTGTCCTGCAGCGCGTCACATGTTCATAAGCTCCAGACTGGCCGTAATCTCCTCACTATAGATTTGAGGATTGCTGCGTGTTTTAGTCAAACATAAATATGTTTCAGTTCAGTCAGTGTTTCGTCTCACTCGTCCAGTGTTCCTGTCCGGATGATGATGCGTTCAGGGTCCCGTCTCTCACCTCAGGCCCAGATTATAGATCGCTTTCCTCAAACACTGAAACACTGGCAGCAGTTCATCAAGCTTCAACATGTAAATATTAGATCAATCATTTGTGATAACACATTTGGCAAACAACATGTTTCAAATCGTCAGGCTTGTATGGCTTGTTTCCGCCATAGAATAAAACACTTTAAAAGAGAATTACGACTTTTTATCTCACAATTGCGAGTTTACATCGAGTTTCTGACACAAATCTGACTTTATATCTCGTAATTGCGACTTTGACACAATTCTGACTTTATAACGTGCAATTCTAAGATAAAGTCACAATTACCTTTTTTATTTTTTTTATTCTGTTGCGGAAACAAGCTTCCATAAAGATGTGACAACAAGCAGCATTACAAGTGAAATCAAAACTACGTTTATTTGTCCCACTTTATATGAAGTGTCTATGAACTAACATTTAAATTAATGATTTGATTCAATGCCCTTATTGTGTACATACAGTCAAACAAAAAAATATTCAGACACCAAATATAACTTTTATTATTTTTCACTAGTGTGATCAGGACACTATAGTTCATTTATGTGAGTGAGGAGAGCAAAATAAAGTAAACTGTGACATATTACACCCAAATATTCTTCATACCAGTGAAATTTATAAAAAGATTTGGGACCAATAATGATTCCTCCACTTTGAGCTGATGATGTTCTGCTGAAGTGTGTTTTCTGTAACTGCTAATGCTCTTTTTACACACACACTGAACAACATGAAGCATTGCTTGGTCACTGGTTGAGCTAAACTGGTATTATCTAATTGTGTAGTTAAATTGAACAGCTGACAGATATTCAACATAATTCATGTGTGAGAGTCTAACAGAAGGATGGACAAAACCAGTCAAATATCCACTGAGTTCTGCTCATGTTTATTACCATTGTCTAAACTTTAGCGAATAAACTGATAATGTGGGAAATGCTGAAGGAGTCTGAGTAAGTTTAGTTTGACTACATGCTTTTATACTTAATACCTGCATGTAATTATAGCTGTAATTTAATTCTGTAAATCCATCTATAATTACACCTTAAACCTTCCCGTAACACCAGACCTGTTTTACACCTCAATAGCAGCACAAGTGATGCACATTACATCAACACAATCAGTGCACTGACACGAACAGTTATCATTGTAATGCAAGTTCATGTCGGGTCAGGTTGAGGGAAGAGGAGAGGACTCAAGGATGCAGAGAAAACAGACCGACAGCACGGGAACGCAACCGCTAACGGGGAACACATCCACAGGGGTCCGGCACAGGACAGGGACACGGGAGAACAGATAGGCAGGACATCAGGGAGTCACCGGAGAGCAGGGGCCTCATTTATAAACGTTGCGTACGCACAAAAGAAGGCGTACGCCGCTCTCTACGCAATAATTGGTATTTATAAAAAGCAAACTTGACGGTAAAATGTGCGGTCCTTCACGCAAGCTCTGACCCAGGCGTACGCACAAAAACGGGTGAAATGAGAAATGGCGACACCGTCGGCAGATGGAAGAAACACGTGAAAGTGTGTGAAACTGTAGACCGTTGTGTTCTGCAATAATATTGGCATGTTATACAATTCATCCTCATAAATAAGATGGTAAACAGAACGAAATAATGTACAAAACTGATATTCTCGCCAATGTGTCCGTCTGGCGGAGCAGATATAGCTAGATATAGCTAGATAGTCAGTCAGATAGATAGATAATTAGGGAGAGATAGATAGATAAATAGATGTATTATTTGATACATGATGTACACTGGGGAAAGTTGTTTTCATAGTAAAAATCTCTTTTTCAGCTACGGAATCATGGTATTCATGCAGGTATTTCATGCATATGCCTTTAGTTTGTTTTATTTTTGATAAAATAACGTATGACGTATGTCTCAACCATTCAGAAAGCTGCAAGAAATTACATTTGCGCTGAACTATTTCCCATTTGCAAGTAGATTATAACCGACATCTGTAGCTTGTCATTTCTTTTTTATTTCGGCCACAGTCCGAGGTTGTGAGGCTACAGCATTTACGGCGTCTGCAACCTTTTGCCACTCAAGTGCCTTTTTGGCATTAGTAATGCCCACACTGTGCCCTCCAAACAACATTTTTCTCCTCTTTTCTACCTCGCCAATGATAACTTCTACTTCACATTGAGTGAAGTTACGTTTCTTTGATTTCCTCTCTATGTTTGCCATGATTTGCAATCGATGAATATTAACTTATGGGCGTTTCACGGACTATTTATGGGCAACTATGGGCGTGACATGAAGCCGCAAAAGCTGCGCTACATTTAGAATTGATTGTGATTTATTAAGGGGAAAATGCGAATTTTATAAATCCGAATATTTCTGTGCGTACGCACGTCCTATGTTTCATCCGTACGCCACTTCTGACGCAAATCCTACGCAAAGTTTTATAAATGAGGCCCCAGGTGTGTGAAATAAACCAACAATCGAGAGACTGAGGCCTTGTCCACACTAATACCTTTTCTTTAGAAAACACATCTTTTTCATCTCCTTTTTGGCCTTCCTCTCGGGCTACACTCGGGCTACGTCCACATTAATCCGGATACATTTAAACACAGCGTTTTCGCTTAAAAAGCCTGTTTGTCCACACTAGCATTTTCAAGATTGCGCGATAACCCTCACAGAAGCACTGAGATGATACAGACGGAACAATACATAATCAAGTTATCGCGCAATTTTTCTGGCAGGATCATTTTATCTCATCATTCACTGATCGTCAGGTCGCTCTCACTCATCATTATATGTTTGGTCTGAAACACTAAAACTGATCTCATGTTTCGCCGCGGGACAGCAGATGTGTGTGAGCTCTGTCATCTGTGCAGGACTGTGATATGAAGAGTGTGTGAAGGAACATGTTTCAGCAACTGTGTGAAAGTGAACAGCTCATAACAGACACTATACCGCTATAAACATGAATATCTATTGGTACAACATGCGTCACATGACTAAACTTACGTCAGCGTTTTTAAATCCCTCAGTTTCCACAGTCCACACTACAACACGAAAACAGTGCTTACAAATCTATCCACTTTGGAGAGCGTTTTCATAGTGTGGACAAGGCCTGAGCGTTTTTTTTAATGAAAACTAAACTTTTTTTGAAAACGCTCTCCAAAGTGGATACATTTGAAAACGTTGGTTTCGTGTTGTAGTGTGGACTGTGAAACCGGAGGAATTTGATAACGATGATGTAAGTTTAGTCATGTGACGCATGTTGTACCAATAATAGATACACTGCCGTTCAAATGTTTAGAATCGGAACGATTTTTTATGTTTTTAAAAGAATCTCTTCTGCTCACCAAGGCTGCATTTATTTGATAAAGTGTAATATTATTCCAGTGTAAATCAGCTGTTTTCTATGTGGATATATAGTGAAATGTAATTTATTCCTGTGATCAAAGCTGAATTTTCAGCATCATTACTCCAGTCTTCAGTGTCACATGATCATTCAGAAATCACTCTAATATGAGGATCTGATGCTCAAGAAACAGTTATGATTATTATCAATGTTGAAAACAGTTGTGTACAATTTATTTTTCCAGGATTCTTTGATGAATAGAAAGTTCAAAAGAACATTTATCTGAAATAGAAGCTTTTGTAACATTAAACACTACCGTTCAAAAGTTTGGGGTCAGTAAGATATATATATATATATATGTATTTTAAAGAAATTAAAGAAATTAATACTTTTATTCAGCAAGGATGCATTAAATTGATCAAAAGTGACAGTAAAGACGTTCATAATGTTACAAAAGATTCTATTTCAGATAAATGCTGTTCTTTTAAACTTTCTATTCATCAAAGAATCCTGAAAAACAATGTGTAGGATACTGTAGTGTTTTATTGAGGAAGGCTAAACCTGTGCCGGTCCTGTGTTGGCCCAGAGCACCTGAAGGCCCCGCTGGAGGAGTACATGGTGCGCCTGCCGAAGGTGCGGATCCTGCGGACCAAGAAGCGCGAGGGTCTGATCCGGACGAGGCTCCTGGGAGCCGAGGCCGCCATCGGGGACGTCATCACCTTCCTGGACTCCCACTGCGAGGCCAACGTCAACTGGCTACCTCCCTTACTGGGTAACTAACCTCCCTTACTGGGTAACTAACCTCCCTTACTGGGTAACAAATCTCCATTACTGGGTAACTAACCTCCCTTACTGGGTAACTAACCTCCCTTACTGGGTAACTAACCTCCCTAACTGGGTAACAAACCTCCCTTACTGGGTAACAAACCTCCCTTACTGGGTAACAAACCTCCCTTACTGGGTAAACTAACCTCCCTTACTGGGTAAACTAACCTCCCTTACTGGGTAAACTAACCTCCCTTACTGGGTAACAAACCTCCCTTACTGGGTAACAAACCTCCCTTACTGGGTAACAAACCTCCCTTACTGGGTAAACTAACCTCCCTTACTGGGTAAACTAACCTCCCTTACTGGGTAACAAACCTCCCTTACTGGGTAAACTAACCTCCCTTACTGGGTAAACTAACCTCCCTTACTGGGTAACTAACCTCCCTTACTGGGTAAACTAACCTCCCTTACTGGGTAACTAACCTCCCTTACTGGGTAAACTAACCTCCCTTACTGGGTAACTAACCTCCCTTACTGGGTAAACTAACCTCCCTTACTGGGTAACTAACCTCCCTTACTGGGTAAACTAACCTCCCTTACTGGGTAACTAACCTCCCTTACTGGGTAACAAACCTCCCTTACTGGGTAACAAACCTCCATTACTGGGTAACTAACCTCCCTTACTGGGTAAACTAACCTCCTTTACTGGGTAACTAACCTCCTCCCTTACTGGGTAAACTAACCTCCCTTACTGGGTAGGGGTGGGAAAAAAAATCGATATTGCAATATATTGTTGTGCTCTCTGTCGCAATAAATAATCGATACACTAACGCCCAATATCGATATTTTATTACAACACAAAATGATTAATTTACCCGTTGTCAGTGTCACTGTCACTACCCAATATCTACCATTCTGTTTGCGGGGGGCGCTGTTCGAGTAAATAGGGGTAAAGTGGCGCAAACAGCGGCCGGTGAAGAACACAAGTTAACTAACAACAACAGAGAGAAGCGAGAAGAATGGCGGAAAACAATATAAAACGAATCAAAGACCCACCCGCTAGTTTCCCAAAGACCCATCCTCCTCCGTTACTGGGTAACAAACCTCTGTTACTGGGTTACAAACCTCCGTTACTGGGTTACAAACCTCCGTTACTGGGTAACAAACCTCCGTTACTGGGTAACAAACCTCCGTTACTGGGTTACAAACCTCCTCCGTTACTGGGTAACAAACCTCCGTTACTGGGTTACAAACCTCCGTTACTGGGTTACAAACCTCCGTTACTGGGTAACAAACCTCCGTTACTGGGTTACAAACCTCCGTTACTGGGTAACAAACCTCCGTTACTGGGTAACTAACCTCCGTTACTGGGTTACAAACCTCCGTTACTGGGTTACAAACCTCCGTTACTGGGTAACAAACCTCCGTTACTGGGTAACTAACCTCCGTTACTGGGTTACAAACCTCCGTTACTGGGTTACAAACCTCCTCCGTTACTGGGTAACAAACCTCCGTTACTGGGTTACAAACCTCCGTTACTGGGTTACAAACCTCCGTTACTGGGTAACAAACCTCCGTTACTGGGTTACAAACCTCCGTTACTGGGTTACAAACCTCCGTTACTGGGTTACAAACCTCCGTTACTGGGTTACAAACCTCCGTTACTGGGTAACAAACCTCCGTTACTGGGTAACAAACCTCCGTTACTGGGTTACAAACCTCCGTTACTGGTTAACAAACCTCCGTTACTGGGTTACAAACCTCCGTTACTGGGTAACAAACCTCCGTTACTGGGTAACAAACCTCCGTTACTGGGTTACAAACCTCCGTTACTGGGTTACAAACCTCCTCCGTTACTGGGTAACAAACCTCCGTTACTGGGTAACAAACCTCTGTTACTGGGTTACAAACCTCCGTTACTGGGTAACTAACCTCCTCCGTTACTGGGTAACAAACCTCTGTTACTGGGTTACAAACCTCCGTTACTGGGTAACTAACCTCCGTTACTGGGTTACAAACCTCCGTTACTGGGTAACAAACCTCCGTTACTGGGTTACAAACCTCCGTTACTGGGTAACTAACCTCCGTTACTGGGTTACAAACCTCCGTTATTGGGTTACAAACCTCCGTTACTGGGTTACAAACCTCCGTTACTGGGTAACTAACCTCCGTTACTGAGTTACAAACCTCCGTTACTGGGTTACAAACCTCCTCCGTTACTGGGTAACAAACCTCCGTTACTGGGTTACAAACCTCCGTTACTGGGTTACAAACCTCCGTTACTGGGTAACAAACCTCCGTTACTGGGTTACAAACCTCCGTTACTGGGTTACAAACCTCCGTTACTGGGTTACAAACCTCCGTTACTCGGTAACAAACCTCCGTTACTGGGTTACAAACCTCCGTTACTGGGTAACAAACCTCCGTTACTGGGTAACAAACCTCCGTTACTGGGTTACAAACCTCCGTTACTGGGTTACAAACCTCCTCCGTTACTGGGTAACAAACCTCCGTTACTGGGTAACAAACCTCCGTTACTGGGTTACAAACCTCCGTTACTGGGTTACAAACCTCCTCCGTTACTGGGTAACAAACCTCCGTTACTGGGTAACAAACCTCCGTTACTGGGTAACAAACCTCCGTTACTGGGTTACAAACCTCCGTTACTGGGTAACAAACCTCCGTTACTGGGTAACAAACCTCCGTTACTGGGTTACAAACCTCCGTTACTGGGTTACAAACCTCCTCCGTTACTGGGTAACAAACCTCCGTTACTGGGTAACAAACCTCCGTTACTGGGTAACAAACCTCTGTTACTGGGTAACAAACCTCTGTTACTGGGTTACAAACCTCCGTTACTGGGTAACTAACCTCCGTTACTGGGTTACAAACCTCCGTTACTGGGTTACAAACCTCTGTTACTGGGTTACAAACCTCCGTTACTGGGTAACTAACCTCCGTTACTGGGTTACAAACCTCCGTTACTGGGTAACTAACCTCCGTTACTGGGTAACTAACCTCCGTTACTGGGTTACAAACCTCCGTTACTGGGTTACAAACCTCCTCCGTTACTGGGTAACAAACCTCTGTTACTGGGTTACAAACCTCCGTTACTGGGTTACAAACCTCCTCCGTTACTGGGTTACAAACCTCCTCCGTTACTGGGTTACAAACCTCCGTTACTGGGTTACAAACCTCCGTTACTGGGTTACAAACCTCCGTTACTGGGTTACAAACCTCCTCCGTTACTGGGTAACAAACCTCTGTTACTGGGTTACAAACCTCCGTTACTGGGTTACAAACCTCTGTTACTGGGTAACAAACCTCCGTTACTGGGTAACTAACCTCTGTTACTGGGTAACTAACCTCCGTTACTGGGTTACAAACCTCCGTTACTGGGTTACAAACCTCTGTTACTGGGTAACTAACCTCCGTTACTGGGTTACAAACCTCCGTTACTGGGTAACAAACCTCTGTTACTGGGTAACTAACCTCCGTTACTGGGTTACAAACCTCCGTTACTGGGTTACAAACCTCCGTTACTGGGTTACAAACCTCTGTTACTGGGTAACTAACCTCCGTTACTGGGTAAACTAACCTCCCTTACTGGGTAAACTAACCTCCCTTACTGGGTAACAAACCTCCCTTACTGGGTAAACAAACCTCCCTTACTGGGTAACAAACCTCCCTTACTGGGTAAACTAACCTCCCTTACTGGGTAACAAACCTCCCTTACTGGGTAAACTAACCTCCCTTACTGGGTAACAAACCTCCCTTACTGGGTAACAAACCTCCCTTACTGGGTAACAAACCTCCCTTACTGGGTAAACTAACCTCCCTTACTGGGTAAACTAACCTCCCTTACTGGGTAACAAACCTCCCTTACTGGGTAAACTAACCTCCCTTACTGGGTAAACTAACCTCCCTTACTGGGTAACTAACCTCCCTTACTGGGTAAACTAACCTCCCTTACTGGGTAACTAACCTCCCTTACTGGGTAAACTAACCTCCCTTACTGGGTAACTAACCTCCCTTACTGGGTAAACTAACCTCCCTTACTGGGTAACTAACCTCCCTTACTGGGTAAACTAACCTCCCTTACTGGGTAACTAACCTCCCTTACTGGGTAACAAACCTCCCTTACTGGGTAACAAACCTCCATTACTGGGTAACTAACCTCCCTTACTGGGTAAACTAACCTCCTTTACTGGGTAACTAACCTCCTCCCTTACTGGGTAAACTAACCTCCCTTACTGGTAGGGGTGGGAAAAAAAATCGATATTGCAATATATTGTTGTGCTCTCTGTCGCAATAAATAATCGATACACTAACGCCCAATATCGATATTTTATTACAACACAAAATGATTAATTTACCCGTTGTCAGTGTCACTGTCACTACCCAATATCTACCATTCTGTTTGCGGGGGGCGCTGTTCGAGTAAATAGGGGTAAAGTGGCGCAAACAGCGGCCGGTGAAGAACACAAGTTAACTAACAACAACAGAGAGAAGCGAGAAGAATGGCGGAAAACAATATAAAACGAATCAAAGACCCACCCGCTAGTTTCCCAAAGACCCATCCTCCTCCGTTACTGGGTTACAAACCTCCGTTACTGGGTTACAAACCTCCGTTACTGGGTAACAAACCTCCGTTACTGGGTAACTAACCTCCGTTACTGGGTTACAAACCTCCGTTACTGGGTTACAAACCTCCGTTACTGGGTAACAAACCTCCGTTACTGGGTAACAAACCTCCGTTACTGGGTTACAAACCTCCGTTACTGGGTTACAAACCTCCGTTACTGGGTTACAAACCTCCTCCGTTACTGGGTAACAAACCTCCGTTACTGGGTAACAAACCTCTGTTACTGGGTAACTAACCTCCTCCGTTACTGGGTAACAAACCTCTGTTACTGGGTTACAAACCTCCGTTACTGGGTAACTAACCTCCGTTACTGGGTTACAAACCTCCGTTACTGGGTTACAAACCTCTGTTACTGGGTTACAAACCTCCGTTACTGGGTAACTAACCTCCGTTACTGGGTTACAAACCTCCGTTACTGGGTAACTAACCTCCGTTACTGGGTAACTAACCTCCGTTACTGGGTTACAAACCTCCGTTACTGGGTTACAAACCTCCGTTACTGGGTTACAAACCTCCTCCGTTACTGGGTAACAAACCTCTGTTACTGGGTTACAAACCTCCGTTACTGGGTTACAAACCTCCTCCGTTACTGGGTAACAAACCTCTGTTACTGGGTTACAAACCTCCGTTACTGGGTTACAAACCTCCGTTACTGGGTTACAAACCTCCTCCGTTACTGGGTAACAAACCTCTGTTACTGGGTTACAAACCTCCGTTACTGGGTAACTAACCTCCGTTACTGGGTTACAAACCTCCGTTACTGGGTTACAAACCTCTGTTACTGGGTTACAAACCTCCGTTACTGGGTAACTAACCTCCGTTACTGGGTTACAAACCTCCGTTACTGGGTAACTAACCTCCGTTACTGGGTAACTAACCTCCGTTACTGGGTTACAAACCTCCGTTACTGGGTTACAAACCTCCGTTACTGGGTTACAAACCTCCTCCGTTACTGGGTAACAAACCTCTGTTACTGGGTTACAAACCTCCGTTACTGGGTTACAAACCTCCTCCGTTACTGGGTAACAAACCTCTGTTACTGGGTTACAAACCTCCGTTACTGGGTTACAAACCTCCGTTACTGGGTTACAAACCTCCTCCGTTACTGGGTAACAAACCTCTGTTACTGGGTTACAAACCTCCGTTACTGGGTTACAAACCTCCGTTACTGGGTAACAAACCTCCGTTACTGGGTAACTAACCTCTGTTACTGGGTAACTAACCTCCGTTACTGGGTTACAAACCTCCGTTACTGGGTTACAAACCTCTGTTACTGGGTAACTAACCTCCGTTACTGGGTTACAAACCTCCGTTACTGGGTAACAAACCTCTGTTACTGGGTAACTAACCTCCGTTACTGGGTTACAAACCTCCGTTACTGGGTTACAAACCTCTGTTACTGGGTAACTAACCTCTGTTACTGGGTAACTAACCTCCGTTACTGGGTTACAAACCTCCGTTACTGGGTAACAAACCTCCGTTACTGGGTTACAAACCTCCTCCGTTACTGGGTAACAAACCTCTGTTACTGGGTTACAAACCTCCGTTACTGGGTTACAAACCTCTGTTACTGGGTAACAAACCTCTGTTACTGGGTTACAAACCTCCGTTACTGGGTTACAAACCTCTGTTACTGGGTAACAAACCTCTGTTACTGGGTTACAAACCTCCGTTACTGGGTAACAAACCTCTGTTACTGGGTAACTAACCTCCGTTACTGGGTTACAAACCTCCGTTACTGGGTTACAAACCTCCTCCGTTACTGGGTAACAAACCTCTGCTACTGGGTTACAAACCTCCGTTACTGGGTTACAAACCTCTGTTACTGGGTAACAAACCTCCGTTACTGGGTAACAAACCTCTGCTACTGGGTTACAAACCTCCGTTACTGGGTAACAAACCTCTGCTACTGGGTTACAAACCTCCGTTACTGGGTTACAAACCTCTGTTACTGGGTAACAAACCTCCGTTACTGGGTAACTAACCTCCGTTACTGGGTTACAAACCTCCGTTACTGGGTTACAAACCTCCGTTACTGGGTAACAAACCTCCGTTACTGGGTAACAAACCTCCGTTACTGGGTAACAAACCTCCCTTACTGGGTAACAAACCTCCGTTACTGGGTTACAAACCTCCGTTACTGGGTAACAAACCTCTGCTACTGGGTTACAAACCTCCGTTACTGGGTTACAAACCTCTGTTACTGGGTAACAAACCTCCGTTACTGGGTAACTAACCTCCGTTACTGGGTTACAAACCTCCGTTACTGGGTTACAAACCTCCGTTACTGGGTAACAAACCTCCGTTACTGGGTAACAAACCTCCGTTACTGGGTAACAAACCTCTGTTACTGGGTTACAAACCTCCGTTACTGGGTTACAAACCTCCACATAAAATAAATCTGGTTCCATCAGTTGCAATTAACATTTGCAAATAACTTAGCGGTCCTGGACAGTGAGTGACCTTACATATTAAGATCAAATCTGATTTTCTCCAGTCATTGTTAAAAAACAAGCTAACAAAACTTGCTAACTAGCGTTAGTGAAGCGGCCAGAGTCGTCGCGCTGCCTCCTCCTAAGCTCCGCCCACAAATAAACGTCACCATGTTTACTAACTGAAAAGGGGTCTATAGCTTTTGTCCTAAATGAGGTCCTAACTGAAATTGCCATGGTTACTAAACACATAAGATAGGATTCTTTAGTTAGGATCTTTCTGAACCCTGGCAGTGGATTATTGTTGTGTTTCCCCCTTCAGATCGCATCGCTCAGAACCGGAAGACCATCGTGTGTCCTATGATCGATGTGATCGACCACGATAACTTCGGTTACGAGACGCAGGCGGGCGACGCCATGCGAGGGGCTTTCGACTGGGAGATGTACTACAAGCGCATCCCTATTCCCCCCCAGCTGGAGAAGTCTGACCCCAGCGACCCTTTCGAGTGAGTGCCCTTTCTCTTCTATGTGTAACATCTCAGTGGAGCGATCGCCTCCATACTCTTTGAATAGGTGAAAGCTAAATGCAGTCGATTGTGATTGTGGACTTTAGATGGTCAATATTTCCTAGGGCTGTCGATTTAACGTGGAAATAACGCATTTAATTAGGGATGCACCGATATGAACATTTTGGCCAATAACCGATATATTGGCCGATAAATCTAAATCCAACTTTTTTGTTAGAATTTCTGAGAGGCTGATGACAAAAACTCTCAGCATTAAAAGCCATATCTCAAGCACACAAGTATAATGTTCTCAGTATAATGTTATGTAGCCGATACGACAGATTTGCGCTGCTCATGTTGCACTGAACTGTATTTTCCTTTTTTGAAGTGATTCCAATCATATTTCAAGCATTTCAATACCATAATGTTGAACAGTGCGCATCTGAAGCGTCTCAGCTGAAGGAGATAATACAGTATTTATCAGCTTTAATATATCAGCCAGATAGCGATAGCATTATAAATGAGCATATATCGGCCGATACTGATATGGTGGCTGATAGATCGTGCTTCCCTACATGTAACGCACCCACACAAGGTCTACGTAGTTCATCTTAGATTTCATACAGTTGATGGTGACAAACATGAAGCAGGACACCAGCTCACTGCGTGATAAAGCCTGTAGAATACAGTTAGAACAACCCTAAAATTCAAGATATCAGGGCAAAAATGCCCCAGTATGAGTTTTTGTCTTATATAGTTAAGAAATATTACACAAGCATAGAGTGCAATATCACAAGAGTGCTGTTTTTGTGGAAAGTTTCTGAAAACTAAAATAAAATATATATTTTTTCTAAAGTTACCTTTTGTTATATCTATTTGATGTTTCAAATATATCATGTAATATCTTTTGGGGTCATTTCTCAGCCAAATTTGATATGTGATTAATTAGATTACACTTCCCTAAAAAGTCTGTTGGATAAAATTTAAGGCAATAAAAATCAGACGGCATAAGAAAAGTGTTTATTCATTTCAGGAGGTCTGAAATGAATAAATTTGGGCTCAGGAAAACAGGAATCGTGATACGGCTCAATGTGAAGATTAAACTTTAAAAGGCGATGATTTAATTGTGTTCTTCAGACTCGCTCTTCAGAGAAGTTCACAATGATGAAAGCCCACATTTATGACAAGCTATTGATTTATTGTTGATGAATTATGACACTGTTTACTTTATGATGTTTACCTGCAACAAGCGCAGCTTCACTATCAGAGTAAACGCTGTACTTCTGCTGGTCCAGCGCCACCTACTGGCAGAGAGGGAGTGTGTGTTCATTCAGCCGCTGGATCGAGAACATAATATAATAGCATTTTGCATATATAAGATATAATAATTTATAACTTTGAGTCATCAGTTTACATACTTTATGCAAATTCAACAGCGTTCGCTCCACAAAACCTGGAATAATGTATGACTAATTGGAAAACACATGGAAAATTAGAGAATATGATCATATGATCATGATTATGACAGGAGTTTAGTGCAGAACTGCAGTGATTGACAGCTTCAGGGATTATAAAGGCAGATCTCTTTGCTCGTGTCTGTATATCTGTAACCCATTCATAATTTGAATAACAGTATTGGGGTTTCCCCGTCATCTGTAGTCCTCCACCAGAGCTGTGTCTTCTTCTCCTCTTCCCGTCAGGTCTCCGGTGATGGCGGGCGGGCTCTTCGCTGTGGACAGGAAGTGGTTCTGGGAGCTGGGAGGATATGACACGGGTCTGGAGATCTGGGGAGGAGAGCAGTACGAGATCTCGTTCAAGGTAATCGCTGTGGCCTGCTCTAATGGACGCCTTTTTTTTAGTTGGTAAACATGGAGTCGTTTGTTTGTGGGCGGAGCTTAGGTGGAGGCGGGGCTTAGGTGGAGGGGGAGCTCAGGTGGAGGCGGAGCTTAGGTGGAGGCAGAACACGACTCTGGCCGCTTCACTAACGCTAGTTAGCACGTTTTTTTAGCTTGTTTTTTTAACAATTAAATCCAAATTGTATCTTAATATGTTAATCTTAATAATAGTTTTGACTAAGTATATGATATTAGTTTTATTAATTATATGATATTAGTTATATTCTATTATGTTATGTTTTATGACTGTATTATATCATCTTGTGTCTGACTGAGTGTGTGTGTGTGTCTCTGAGGTGTGGATGTGTGGTGGGCGTATGGAGGACATCCCCTGCTCTCGAGTGGGTCACATATACCGGAAGTACGTGCCTTATAAAGTTCCCGGAGGAGTGAGTCTCGCCAGGGTGAGTGTCCAATCAGCTCTCATGCACTTCCCACAATGCATTTCACATTGACATCATGATGTTCTGATGTGAGATCAGATTTACTACATCCACCTGTTCACTGTCACCCCACTTTATGAGCAAAGACGTGAACATGGCCTTTTGATAGGAGAAAAAAGGCAATAAAAAAGTGTTAAAGGGATAGTTCACCCTAAAATGAAAATTAGCCCATGATTTACTCTCCCTCATGTCATCCTAGGTGTGTATGACGTTCTTCTTTCAGACGAATACAATCAGAGTTATATTAAAAATGTCCTGGCTCTTCCAAGCTTTATAATGAGAGTGAATGGCTGTTTCTGTTTTGAAGTCCATAAAAGTGCATTCATCCATCATAAAAGTGCATCTGTCCATCATAAAATTGCATCTGTCCATCATAAAAGTGCATCTATCCATCATAAAAGTGCATCTGTCCATCATAAAAGTGCATCTGTCCATCATAAAAGTGCATCTGTCCATCATAAAAGTGCATCTGTCCATCATAAAAGTGCATCTGTCCATCATAAAAGTGCATCTGTCCATCATAAAATTGCATCTGTCCATCATAAAATTGCATCTGTCCATCATAAAAGTGCATCTGTTCATCATAAAAGTGCATCTGTCCATCATAAAAGTGCATCTGTCCATCATAAAAGTGCATCTGTCCATCATAAAAGTGCATCTGTCCATCATAAAAGTGCATCTGTCCATCATAAAAGTGCATCTGTCCATCATAAAATTGCATCTGTCCATCATAAAAGTGCATCTGTCCATCATAAAAGTGCATCTATCCATCATAAAAGTGCATCTGTCCATCATAAAAGTGCATCTATCCATGATAAAAGTGCATCTGTCCATCATTAAAGTGCATCTATCCATCATAAAAGTGCATCTGTCCCTGTCCATCATAAAAGTGCATCTGTCCATCATAAAAGTGCATCTATCCATGATAAAAGTCCATCTGTCCATCATAAAAGTGCATCTGTCCATCATAAAAGTGCATCTGTCCATCATAAAAGTGCATCTGTCCATCATAAAAGTGCATCTGTCCATCATAAAAGTGCATCTATCCATCATAAAAGTGCATCTGTCCATCATAAAAGTGCATCTGTCCATCATAAAAGTGCATCTGTCCATCATAAAATTGCATCTATCCATCATAAAAGTGCATCTGTCCATCATAAAAGTGCATCTGTCCATCATAAAATTGCATCTATCCATCATAAAAGTGCATCTGTCCATCATAAAAGTGCATCTATCCATCATAAAAGTGTATCTATCCATCATAAAAGTGCATCTGTCCATCATAAAAGTGCATCTATCCATCATAAAAGTGCATCTATCCATCATAAAAGTGCATCTATCCATCATAAAAGTGCATCTATCCATCATAAAAGTGCATCTGTCCATCATAAAAGTGCATCTGTCCATCATAAAAGTGCATCTGTCCATCATAAAATTGCATCTATCCATCATAAAAGTGCATCTGTCCATCATAAAAGTGCATCTGTCCATCATAAAAGTGTATCTATCCATCATAAAAGTGCATCTGTCCATCATAAAAGTGCATCTATCCATCATAAAAGTGCATCTGTCCATCATAAAAGTGCATCTATCCATCATAAAAGTGCATCTGTCCATCATAAAAGTGCATCTGTCCATCATAAAATTGCATCTATCCATCATAAAAGTGCATCTGTCCATCATAAAAGTGCATCTGTCCATCATAAAAGTGTATCTATCCATCATAAAAGTGCATCTGTCCATCATAAAAGTGCATCTGTCCATCATAAAAGTGCATCTGTCCATCATAAAAGTGCATACCGTAAAACTTCAAATAGTAGCCCGGGCTTTTATTTTCCCAAATCGTCGAACTGCACCGGCTTGTATTTGAGACAGGTGTCTATATGAGACAGGCCTTTAGTTAATTTAGTGTTGATATGTTGTTCATTGAGTGTATAGGCCTGTCTCTTATCTCTAAAAATCTCCAAATGCTCCACGTCTTCCGACCTTTTACTATCGTGTCAATTGATTTTGATTAATATGCGCGAGGGAGAGAGAGCAAGACAGCGCTCGTGTTGTTTGAAGACGTGAGAGTGCGCGCGCGCGGCCGGGTCGCTCCCTCTCTCTCTGCTCGTAACGTCATTCTATTCTACATCACTCATTGATCAAAAAAGGCTTTGGAGGGACAACAATTTGCTTTGGCGGCCGCCAAAAAGCGGACGACGACGATCTGACGGTTTTAGAGGATTAAATAGAACCCGAAACTAAAAAAAAAACCCGGCTTCTATTTGAGCCAGGCCTTTATTTACCCAAACCTGCAGCCACACCAGGCGTGTAAAAGAGACAGGCGTCTATTTGGGACTCGGCTATTATTTGAAGTTTTACGGTATGTCCATCATAAAAGTGCATCTGTCCATCATAAAAGTGCATCTGTCCATCATAAAATTGCATCTGTCCATCATAAAAGTGCATCTGTCCATCATAAAAGTGCATCTGTCCATCATAAAAGTGCATCTATCTATGATAAAAGTGCATCTGTCCATCATAAAAGTGCATCTGTCCATCATAAAAGTGCATCTGTCCATTATAAAAGTGCATCTATCCATCATAAAAGTGCATCTGTCCATCATAAAAGTGCATCTGTCCATCATAAAAGTGCATCTATCCATCATAAAAGTGCATCTGTCCATCATAAAAGTGCATCTGTCCATCATAAAAGTGCATCTATCCATCATAAAAGAGCATCTGTCCATCATAAAACTGCATCTGTCCATCATAAAAGTGCATCTGTCCATCATAAAATTGCATCTGTCCATCATAAAAGTGCATCTATCCATCATAAAAGTGCATCTATCCATCATAAAAGTGCATCTATCCATCATAAAAGTGCATCTGTCCATCATAAAAGTGCATCTGTCCATCATAAAAGTGCATCTGTCCATCATAAAATTGCATCTGTCCATCATAAAAGTGCATCTATCCATCATAAAAGTGCATCTGTCCATCATAAAAGTGCATCTGTCCATCATAAAAGTGCATCTGTCCATCATAAAAGTGCATCTATCCATCATAAAAGTGCATCTGTCCATCATAAAAGTGCATCTATCCATCATAAAAGTGCATCTGTCCATCATAAAATTGCATCTGTCCATCATAAAAGTGCATCTATCCATCATAAAAGTGCATCTGTCCATCATAAAAGTGCATCTATCCATCATAAAAGTGCATCTGTCCATCATAAAAGTGCATCTGTCCATCATAAAAGTGCATTCTGTCCATCATAAAAGTGCATCTATCTATGATAAAAGTGCATCTGTCCATCATAAAATTGCATCTGTCCATCATAAAAGTGCATCTGTCCATCATAAAAGTGCATCTGTCCATCATAAAATTGCATCTGTCCATCATAAAAGTGCATCTATCTATGATAAAAGTGCATCTGTCCATCATAAAAGTGCATCTGTCCATCATAAAAGTGCATCTGTCCAACATAAAAGTGCATCTGTCCATCATAAAAGTGCATCTATCTATGATAAAAGTGCATTTGTCCATCATAAAATTGCATCTGTCCATCATAAAAGTGCATCTGTCCATCATAAAAGTGCATCTGTCCATCATAAAAGTGCATCTGTCCATCATAAAAGTGCATCTATCCATCATAAAAGTGCATCTGTCCATCATAAAAGTGCATCCATCATAAAAGTGCATCTGTCCATCATAAAAGTGCATCTGTCCATCATAAAAGTGTATCTGTCCATCATAAAAGTGCATCTATCCATCATAAAAGTGCATCTGTCCATCATAAAAGTGCATCTGTCCATCATAAAATCTGTCCATCATAAAAGTGCATCTGTCCATCATAAAAGTGCATCTGTCCATCATAAAAGTGCATCTGTCCATCATAAAATTGCATCTATCCATCATAAAAGTGCATCTGTCCATCATAAAAGTGCATCTGTCCATCATAAAAGTGCATCTATCTATGATAAAAGTGCATCTGTCCATCATAAAATTGCATCTGTCCATCATAAAAGTGCATCTGTCCATCATAAAAGTGCATCTATCTATGATAAAAGTGCATCTATCCATCATAAAAGTGCTCTGTCCATCATAAAAGTGCATCTGTCCATCATAAAAGTGCATCTATATCTGTCCATCATAAAAGTGCATCTATCCATCATAAAAGTGCATCTGTCCATCATAAAAGTGCATCTGTCCATCATAAAAGTGCATCTGTCCATCATAAAAGTGCATCTGTCCATCATAAAAGTGCATCTGTCCATCATAAAAGTGCATCTGTCCATCATAAAAGTGCATCTGTCCATCATAAAAGTGCATCTATCTATGATAAAAGTGCATCTGTCCATCATAAAATTGCATCTGTCCATCATAAAAGTGCATCTGTCCATCATAAAAGTGCATCTATCTATGATAAAAGTGCATCTATCCATCATAAAAGTGCTCTGTCCATCATAAAAGTGCATCTGTCCATCATAAAAGTGCATCTATCCATCATAAAAGTGCATCTGTCCATCATAAAAGTGCATCTGTCCATCATAAAAGTGCATCTATCCATCATAAAAGTGCATCTGTCCATCATAAAAGTGCATCTGTCCATCATAAAAGTGCATCTGTCCATCATAAAAGTGCATCTGTCCATCATAAAAGTGCATCTGTCCATCATAAAAGTGCATCTATCCATCATAAAAGTGCATCTGTCCATCATAAAAGTGCATCTGTCCATCATAAAAGTGCATCTATCCATCATAAAAGTGCATCTGTCCATCATAAAAGTGCATCTATCCATCATAAAAGTGCATCTATCCATCATAAAAGTGCATCTATCCATCATAAAAGTGCATCTGTCCATCATAAAAGTGCATCTATCCATCATAAAAGTGCATCTATCCATCATAAAAGTGCATCTGTCCATCATAAAAGTGCATCTATCCATCATAAAAGTGCATCTATCCATCATAAAAGTGCATCTGTCCATCATAAAAGTGCATCTGTCCATCATAAAAGTGCATCTATCCATCATAAAAGTGCATCTGTCCATCATAAAAGTGCATCTGTCCATCATAAAAGTGCATCTATCCATCATAAAAGTGCATCTGTCCATCATAAAAGTGCATCTGTCCATCATAAAAGTGCATCTATCCATCATAAAAGTGCATCTGTCCATCATAAAAGTGCATCTATCCATCATAAAAGTGCATCTATCCATCATAAAAGTGCATCTATCCATCATAAAAGTGCATCTGTCCATCATAAAAGTGCATCTATCCATCATAAAAGTGCATCTATCCATCATAAAAGTGCATCTGTCCATCATAAAAGTGCATCTATCCATCATAAAAGTGCATCTATCCATCATAAAAGTGCATCTGTCCATCATAAAAGTGCATCTGTCCATCATAAAAGTGCATCTATCCATCATTTTATGATGGACAGATGCACTTTTATGATGGATGAATGCACTTTTATGGACTTCAAAACAGAAACAGGCATTCACTCTCATTATAAAGCTTGGAAGAGCCAGGACATTTTTAATATAACTCTTGATTGTATTCGTCTGAAAGAAGAACGTCATACACACCTAGGATGACATGAGGGAGAGTAAATCATGGGCTAATTTTCATTTTTGGGTGAACTATCCCTTTAAGGTAAAGTTATTTCATAGGGCAGTATATTTTTACATCTATAACTATCTGTTGATTATTTCTGTAGTCGAAGCAGTATTTGTCTGGCACAAAAGTGTCCTGTATGAGCGTCATCATGACTGATGTATGTGTGTGTGTGTGTGTGTGTGTGTGTGTGTGTTGTAGAACCTGAAGCGTGTGGCGGAGGTGTGGATGGACGAGTACGCTGAGTTCATGTACCAGCGCCGGCCGGAGTATCGGCATCTCTCGGCGGGAGACGTGTCGGCGCAGAAGGAGCTGAGGAACCGGCTCAACTGCAGGAGCTTCCGCTGGTTCATGACGGAGGTGGCGTGGGATCTTCCCAAACACTACCCGCCGGTGGAGCCGCCCGCCGCCGCCTGGGGAGAGGTGCGGACGACCCGTTCCCGGGTCTCTGGAGTCCACTCCGATTCCTGACTCCTTATATTGGAGTCGGCAGAGTCCACTCCGATTCCTGACTCCTTATATTGGAGTCGGCAGAGTCCACTCCTCGACTGCATGACGATCAGAATAGGGTCAGGAATAGCTAGGGTTCCTGTGATAGTGCTGACGGTGTTACCCGTGTTCAGAAGCAACACCGGTTACATCACCTGCTCACCGCGGCACCGCACCCAACGTCGATTGGATTTTTATAAAATCATTAGTTCAGTTAGAGAACAGACACTATTAAACTGAACGGTGTCTGCTTAATAAACGGTGAGCCGAACGAGTCGCCGCACAGATACGCAGCAGGAGTCCGGTCTCACTCATCAGAGAGCGAGGAGCTGACTGACAAGACCATGGCGGAACATTTGGCGTCAAAGCGAAATGTAAAAGCGCCTATTTAAGCGAATCTGTCATTGGACTGATTTGTTGTTGTGTTGTTTTTCATTAAGAATAATAGGCTAATGAACTAACTCAAGCAATCCACCCCGAATTGGCGCTGATTTGAAAGCGAAACTAAAATGCGCACGGCCGCACGTGTCATCGGGCAGAACAGAGCGAACGTCTCAGTTCATTCCTGTGGCGATGCGCTCGCTCTGTTCTGCCCGCTCCGCGGACGCGCGCATTTTAGTTTAGCTTTCAAATAAGCAACAATTCAGAGCGGATTGCTTGAATGGTGAGTTGTTATATTAAAAACACGACAACAAAACAGTGTTGCTCCGCACCATTATGAATGCCCGTGTGGACGCGCGTATTTTACTATTGCCTTTAAATTAGCGATTTAAAAACCCTGCCGGTATTACCGGTGTCGTCACACGTCAAATTAACCGGTGGGAAAATATCCTCACCGTCACATCCCTCATCCCTAGTCACATTCTGATCGACAAATCTGTTTTTATAACAGGAAACACTTCACGTAGTCGCGATGTTCTATTGTGTCACGTTTATCAAAATAAAACGGAAAAAAAAAAGTAGACCCCACTTCAGACTTATGTTGAACTTTATTCTGGTACAAACAGACGCTGTATTTAAAGGGATAGTTCACCCCAAAATGTAAACTCTGTCAGTAATTACTCGCCCTCATGTTGTTCAACCCCGTAAGACTTTCGTTCATCTTCAGATTACAAATTAAGATATTTTTGATTAAATCTGAGAGCTGGATCACTCCTCCATAGGCTTCTGGCTTCTTCTCATACTAAGTGTTTAAAACGTGATTGACACAACTTGAAGTCGTATTTATTGTGTGTGTGTTCCAGCTGCGTAACGTGGGCTCCGGCCTCTGCATGGAGAGCAAGCACTTTTCCTCGGGATCCCCGATCCGCCTGGAGCAGTGCCTGAGGGAGCGCGGCGAGCCGAGCTGGAGTCACGGCCAGGTGAGAGTCGCCGCTCGCACACCAGTGTTACATGTTGAGGAATGCTTTTATGTGAACAATGATGTGTGTGTGGCTGTTCTGCAGGTGTTCACGTTCGGGTGGAGGGAGGATATTCGCGTTGGAGACCCGCTACACACGAAGAAGGTGTGCTTCGACGCCGTGTCCCACAACAGCCCCGTCACTCTCTACGACTGCCATGGGATGAAGGGCAACCAGCTGTGGGCCTACAGGAAGGTACTGGCCTACACCGACTCACTGTGTTACTGGATGAAACGAAACAATATTCCTCATTATAATAATTCATGCGCAGAATAAAGGGGCGGGGCCTGGTTGAGTTAGTTAGTGGTGTGTTAAACTGGCGGTTATGGAAAGGGGCGGGACATTTCCCAAACACACTCGAAGGGCTCGACCAATCACAACACACTGCTCCAGCCGACCAATCAGAGCACAGTGTGCTTTCAGAAGGAGGGGCTTCATAGAGACAGGAAGTAAACAGAGCGTTACTGACAGACTGGGAAGAGAGGAGCCGCAACAATGGAGAATATGAGGAGAATAATCAACATTTATTACATTAACATAGATGCATATTTTTTTGGGGCTTTAATATTTGTATTGTGTGGTAGCGGTTTTATAAAAGCAATAAGGTACTCGAGGCTGTATAGTGAATAAGCCGTGTCGTGCCTAACAACCCCTTCAGCCGTGACTTATTCACGATACAGCACAGCCTCGAGTACCTTATTGCTTTTATAAAACCGCTACCACACAATACAAATATTAAAGGCCAAAAAAATATGTATCAATGCAACTTTCATGAAGTAAAATCACTTCCTTCCGCTGGAAAAAATAGTCCCTGACTGTAAACCGCAACAGAAGTTACATTATTTCTCCATTAGATGGCGGCAAAGACTGTCTTTATGAGTGCGTGAGTCAGTAGAGAAGACTTTTATATTCAAAAGACTGAAACTTGTTGTGAACACGGAGAAGCAAGACGTAACTGATAAATGTCTAGCATGTCACGGGAAAACCCCTTAACTGTTAAAAGGACAAGATATCGCGGTGGACATTCAAACGGATATTTTATTATGAATATAGAACTGACCTGAAGGAAAATGCTATATTACTGTAAATGCAGGTACACACACTTACTCGATCTCTCACAATACTCACTCTATAAGCTTCAATGAACAATATCTATGAGAACAAACATACGTTTACGTTGCTAAGAGTGGTTGCTAGGGGTGTTGTGTAGTGATACAGAGATCTGGTGGGTGAAGCGGTCTATTGACCAATCAGAATTAAGGACTGGAACCATTTTATAAGGGGAAAATAATCAACATTCAAGCAGGAAAACCTGTTCTAGTAGAGCAGAAACAACATCACGACTTGGAGAAAAGAACTTTTTCATGATCAATCTGCGCTCAAAGCGGCACATTTTTTAAATTTCAGTACCGACTTCAGTACTTTTGACAACACTAGTTAAGGAGGAACGTTCTGTGAGCAAATGATAATGTGTGTGTGTGTGTGTGTGTGTGCAGGATAAGAGCATCTACCACCCCATCAGTAACAGCTGTGTGGACTGTAGCGCTGCACAGAAGCGCATCTTCATGAACTCCTGCGACCCCTCGTCTCTCAGTCAGCAGTGGCTCTTCGGGAACACCAACGCCAGCGTGCTGGACTCCTTCAACCGCGGCCAGTGACGGCGGAGCTGGAGCTCGTGGACACACCTCTCGTGCCTTCACTGAACTCATGTGCGGACGCTGGAGCCGTCTTCATCTCAGTGCTAACCTCCACTCCTGCTGCTAATGCTACTGTTGAGGAGAGAACGGCTGTGTTTGAGTGTTTGCAAGGCTGTGCGTTACTGATGTTCCTTTCAGCGCAGTATTTTATTTGTTATTGAAAGAGTGCGTTAGTAACATTAGCCTATAGGCGGGTCACAACGCGCGTACACTCTGCTTATTATTACACACACTCTGCTTATTACACACACACACACACACACACACACACACACACACACACACACACACATCTTTAACCTCGCGCATGAGCAGATCCGTTTCCTCGCTAGAGAAGCGTTCAGTCTTTCCGCTTGCTAATTCCAACATGTAAACAGCGAATCCGCCATGCGAGCGCAACTGGCTTTTAAAGCGAATGGGAGACGAGACTCTGATTGGTTTATTTCACGTTATGCTCAAAACACACCCATTACTCATTAAGAGAATAGAGACAACACTTTTAGACCATGCGCCGGGAGCGCCGACCATTTGTCCCGTCGCTAAACTAGCAGAAGTGGATCCGGACACACACTTGCACCGTGTGCTTTAGACCATGAGCTTAGATCTGTAAAATAGGGCCCAAAAGCTTAGATGTGCGTTTATAGGGGAAGGTTGTAAGTGTCACACCGACACTCTCAGCGCCGGACTCACACACACTCCCAGCGCCGGACTCACACACACTCCCAGCGCCGGACTCACACACACTCTCAGCGCCGGACTCACACACACTCTCAGCGCCGGACTCACACACACTTTCAGCGCCGGACTCACACACACTCTCAGCGCCGGACTCACACACACTCCCAGCGCCGGACTCACACACACTCCCAGCGCCGGACTCACACACACTCCCAGCGCCGGACTCACACACACTCTCAGCGCCGGACTCACACACACTCTCAGCGCCGGACTCACACACACTTTCAGCGCCGGACTCACACACACTCTCAGCGCCGGACTCACACACACTCCCAGCGCCGGACTCACACACACTCCCAGCGCCGGACTCACACACACTCTCAGCGCCGGACTCACACACACTCTCAGCGCCGGACTCACACACACTTTCAGCGCCGGACTCACACACACTCCCAGCGCCGGACTCACACACACTCTCAGCGCCGGACTCACACACACTCTCAGCGCCGGACTCACACACACTCTCAGTGCCGGACTCACACACACTCCCAGCGCCGGACTCACACACACTCCCAGCGCCAGACTCACACACACTCTCAGCGCCGGACTCACACACACTCTCAGTGCCGGACTTGCACACACTCTCAGCGCCGGACTCACACACACTCCCAGCGCCGGACTCACACACACTCTCAGTGCCGGACTCGCACACACTCTCAGCGCCGGACTCACACACACTCTCAGCGCCGGACTCACACACACTCTCAGCGCCGGACTCACACACACTCTCAGTGCCGGACTCACACACACTCTCAGCGCCGGACTCACACACACTCTCAGTGCCGGACTTGCACACACTCTCAGCGCCGGACTCACACACACTCCCAGCGCCGGACTCACACACACTCTCAGTGCCGGACTCGCACACACTCTCAGCGCCGGACTCACACACACTCTCAGCGCCGGACTCACACACACTCTCAGCGCCGGACTCACACACACTCTCAGCGCCGGAATTGCACACACTCTCAGCGCCGGACTCACACACACTCTCAGCGCCGGACTCACACACACTCTCAGCGCCGGACTCACACACACTCTCAGTGCCGGACTCACACACACTCCCAGCGCCGGACTCACACACACTCTCAGCGCCGGACTCACACACACTCTCAGCGCCGGACTCACACACACTCTCAGTGCCGGACTCGCACACACTCTCAGTGCCGGACTCACACACACTCCCAGCGCCGGACTCACACACACTCCCAGCGCCGGACTCACACACACTCTCAGCGCCGGACTCACACACACTCTCAGTGCCGGACTCGCACACACTCTCTCTGCCGGAATTGCACACACTCTCAGCGCCGGACTCACACACACTCTCAGCGCCGGACTCACACACACTCTCAGTGCCGGACTCACACACACTCTCAGCGCCGGACTCACACACACTCTCAGCGCCGGACTCACACACACTCTCAGCGCCGGACTCACACACACTCTCTCTGCCGGACTCACACACACTCTCAGTGCCGGACTCACACACACTCTCAGCGCCGGACTCACACACACTCTCAGTGCCGGACTCACACACACTCTCAGCGCCGGACTCACACACACTCTCAGTGCCGGACTTACACACACTCTCTCTGCCGGAATTGCACACACTCTCAGCGCCGGACTCACACACACTCTCAGCGCCGGACTCACACACACTCTCAGCGCCGGACTCACACACACTCTCAGTGGCGGACTCACACACACTCTCAGCGCCGGACTCACACACACTCTCAGTGCCGGACTCACACACACTCTCAGTGCCGGACTCACACACACTCTCTCTGCCGGAATTGCACACACTCTCAGCGCCGGACTCACACACACTCTCAGCGCCAGACTCACACACACTCTCTCTGCCGGACTCACACACACTCTCAGCGCCGGACTCACACACACTCTCAGCGCCGGACTCACACACACTCTCAGCGCCGGAATTGCACACACTCTCAGCGCCGGACTCACACACACTCTCTCTGCCGGACTCACACACACTCTCAGCGCCGGACTCACACACACTCTCAGCGCCGGACTCACACACACTCTCAGCGCCGGAATTGCACACACTCTCAGCGCCGGACTCACACACACTCTCAGCGCCGGACTCACACACACTCTCAGCGCCGGACTCACACACACTCTCAGCGCCGGACTCACACACACTCTCAGCGCCGGACTCACACACACTCTCAGTGCCGGACTCACACACACTCTCTCTGCTGGACTCACACACACTCTCAGTGCCGGACTCACACACACTCTCAGCGCCGGACTCACACACACTCTCAGTGCCGGACTCACACACACTCTCAGTGCTGGACTCACACACACTCTCAGTGCTGGACTCACACACACTCTCTCTGCCGGACTCACACACACTCTCAGTGCCGGACTCACACACACTCTCAGCGCCGGACTCACACACACTCTCAGCGCCGGACTCACACACACTCTCAGCGCCGGACTCACACACACTCTCAGCGCCGGACTCACACACACTCTCAGCGCCGGACTCACACACACTCTCTCTGCCGGACTCACACACACTCTCTCTGCCGGACTCACACACTCTCAGCGCCGGACTCACACACACTCTCTCTGCCGGACTCACACACACTCTCTCTGCCGGACTCACACACACTCTCAGTGCTGGACTCACACACACTCTCTCTGCCGGACTCACACACACTCTCTCTGCCGGACTCACACACACTCTCAGTGCTGGACTCACACACACTCTCAGTGCTGGACTCACACACACTCTTAGTGCCGGACTCACACACACTCTCAGTGCCGGACTCACACACACTCTTAGTGCCGGACTCACACACACTCTCAGTGCTGGACTCACACACACTCTCAGCGCCGGACTCACACACACTCTCAGCGCCGGACTCACACACACTCTCAGTGCCGGACTCACACACACTCTCAGCGCCGGACTCACACACACTCTCAGCGCCGGACTCACACACACTCTTAGTGCCGGACTCACACACACTCTCAGCGCCGGACTCACACACACTCTCTCTGCCGGACTCACACACACTCTCTCTGCCGGACTCACACACACTCTCTCTGCCGGACTCACACACACTCTCTCTGCCGGACTCACACACACTCTCTCTGCCGGACTCACACACACTCTCTCTGCCGGACTCACACACACTCTCAGCGCCGGACTCACACACACTCTTAGTGCCGGACTCACACACACTCTCAGCGCCGGACTCACACACACTCTCAGTGCCGGACTCACACACACTCTCTCTGCCGGACTCACACACACTCTCAGCGCCGGACTCACACACACTCTCAGCGCCGGACTCACACACACTCTCAGCGCCGGACTCACACACACTCTCAGCGCCGGACTCACACACACTCTCTCTGCCGGACTCACACACACTCTCTCTGCCGGACTCACACACACTCTCAGTGCTGGACTCACACACACTCTCTCTGCCGGACTCACACACACTCTCTCTGCCGGACTCACACACACTCTCTCTGCCGGACTCACACACACTCTCAGTGCTGGACTCACACACACTCTCTCTGCCGGACTCACACACACTCTCTCTGCCGGACTCACACACACTCTCAGTGCTGGACTCACACACACTCTCAGTGCTGGACTCACACACACTCTTAGTGCCGGACTCACACACACTCTCAGTGCCGGACTCACACACACTCTTAGTGCCGGACTCACACACACTCTCAGCGCCGGACTCACACACACTCTCAGCGCCGGACTCACACACACTCTTAGTGCCGGACTCACACACACTCTCAGTGCCGGACTCACACACACTCTTAGTGCCGGACTCACACACACTCTCAGCGCCGGACTCACACACACTCTCTCTGCCGGACTCACACACACTCTCTCTGCCGGACTCACACACACTCTCTCTGCCGGACTCACACACACTCTCAGTGCCGGACTCACACACACTCTTAGTGCCGGACTCACACACACTCTCAGCGCCGGACTCACACACACTCTCAGCGCCGGACTCACACACACTCTCAGCGCCGGACTCACACACACTCTCAGTGCCGGACTCACACACACTCTTAGTGCCGGACTCACACACACTCTCAGCGCCGGACTCACACACACTCTCAGTGCCGGACTCACACACACTCTCAGTGCTGGACTCACACACACTCTTAGTGCCGGACTCACACACACTCTCAGTGCCGGACTCACACACACTCTTAGTGCCGGACTCACACACACTCTCTCTGCCGGACTCACACACACTCTCAGCGCCGGACTCACACACACTCTCAGCGCCGGACTCACACACACTCTCAGTGCCGGACTCACACACACTCTTAGTGCCGGACTCACACACACTCTCAGCGCCGGACTCACACACACTCTCAGTGCCGGACTCACACACACTCTCAGTGCCGGACTCACACACACTCTTAGTGCCGGACTCACACACACTCTCAGCGCCGGACTCACACACACTCTCAGCGCCGGACTCACACACACTCTCAGCGCCGGACTCACACACACTCTCAGTGCCGGACTCACACACACTCTTAGTGCCGGACTCACACACACTCTCAGCGCCGGACTCACACACACTCTCAGTGCCGGACTCACACACACTCTCAGTGCTGGACTCACACACACTCTTAGTGCCGGACTCACACACACTCTCAGTGCCGGACTCACACACACTCTTAGTGCCGGACTCACACACACTCTCTCTGCCGGACTCACACACACTCTCAGCGCCGGACTCACACACACTCTCAGCGCCGGACTCACACACACTCTCAGTGCCGGACTCACACACACTCTTAGTGCCGGACTCACACACACTCTCAGCGCCGGACTCACACACACTCTCAGTGCCGGACTCACACACACTCTCAGCGCCGGACTCACACACACTCTCTCTGCCGGACTCACACACACTCTCAGTGCCGGACTCACACACACTCTTAGTGCCGGACTCACACACACTCTCAGCGCCGGACTCACACACACTCTCAGTGCCGGACTCACACACACTCTCAGTGCCGGACTCACACACACTCTCAGTGCCGGACTCACACACACTCTCAGTGCTGGACTCACACACACTCTTAGTGCCGGACTCACACACACTCTCAGTGCCGGACTCACACACACTCTCAGTGCCGGACTCACACACACTCTCAGTGCCGGACTCACACACACTCTCAGTGCCGGACTCACACACACTCTCAGTGCTGGACTCACACACACTCTTAGTGCCGGACTCACACACACTCTCAGCGCCGGACTCACACACACTCTCAGTGCCGGACTCACACACACTCTCAGCGCCGGACTCACACACACTCTCAGTGCCGGACTCACACACACTCTCAGTGCCGGACTCACACACACTCTCAGTGCTGGACTCACACACACTCTTAGTGCCGGACTCACACACACTCTCAGCGCCGGACTCACACACACTCTCAGTGCCGGACTCACACACACTCTTAGTGCCGGACTCACACACACTCTTAGTGCCGGACTCACACACACTCTCAGTGCCGGACTCACACACACTCCCAGCGCCGGACTCACACACACTCTCAGTGCCGGACTCACACACACTCTTAGTGCCGGACTCACACACACTCTCTCTGCCGGACTCACACACACTCTCAGCGCCGGACTCACACACACTCTCTCTGCCGGACTCGAGCGCGCCGCCCTGCAAACACTGCTATAATCCTTCAGGAGAGGCCAAGATGAATGTTCCCTTTATTAATCTGGCCGTTTATCCGAGTCATTCCACAGAAATGTGTGTGGTTTATTATCCATCTTCTATTTGTTTGTATATACACATTTTTTGTTTTTGTGGACATATTTTATTAGAAAAGCTTGAAGGTGTATCAACCCTGTTAACTAGAATGATGCAAATTCAATGACATGTACAGTCAAACCAAAAATCATTCAGACACCAGATATAACTTTTTATATTTTTCACTAGTGTGATCAGGACACTAGTGTTCATTTATGTGAGTGAGGAGAGCAAAATAAAGTAAACTGGGACATATTATACCCAAATATTCTTCATACAGTGACTACCAGTAAAGATTGTGACCAATAATGATTCCTCCACTTTGAGTTGATCATGTTTTGCTGAAGTGTGTTTTCTGTAACTGCTAATGCTCTTTTTACACACACACTGAACAACATGAAGCATTGCTTGGTCACTGGTTGAGCTAAACTGGTATTATCTAATTGTGTAGTTACATTTAACAGCTGACAGATATTCAACATAATTCATGTGTGAGAGTCGAACAGAAGAACGGACAAAACCAGTCAAATATCCACTGAGTTCTGCTCATGTTTATTACCATTGTCTAAACTATAGCGAATAAACTGATAATGTGGGAAATGCTGAAGGAGTCTGAATAAATGTTGCTTTGACTGTACATGTGTTTTCTGTTTGGGAAAGTCTAAGATATCCGGTCCTGTTCGTGTGATTTATGTACAGCCACAACACTGCAGTTGATCAACAGTGTGGAATGACCCGGCTATAAACCCGCTGGTTCTGGGATGTGTCCCACGGGTTCTCCATGATCCCGCCGGTTCTGGGATGTTTCCCACGGGTTCTCCATGATCCCGCCGGTTCTGGGATGTTTCCCACGGGTTCTCCATGATCCCGCCGGTTCTGGGATGTGTCCCACGGGTTCTCCATGATCCCGCCGGTTCTGGGATGTGTCCCACGGGTTCTCCATGATCCCGCCGGTTCTGGGATGTGTCCCACGGGTTCTCCATGATCCCGCCGGTTCTGGGATGTGTCCCACGGGTTCTCCATGATCCCGCCGGTTCTGGGATGTTTCCCACGGGTTCTCCATGATCCCGCCGGTTCTGGGATGTGTCCCACGGGTTCTCCATGATCCCGCCGGTTCTGGGATGTGTCCCACGGGTTCTCCATGATCCCGCCGGTTCTGGGATGTGTCCCACGGGTTCTCCATGATCCCGCCGGTTCTGGGATGTTTCCCACGGGTTCTCCATGATCCCGCCGGTTCTCGATCAGCGCTTCCAGCCCAAAGACGGCCTCATGTCCCAGTGTTCGGTTCCTGACGCACACAGATAAACTTGAACCCAGTCCATGTGCCTTCAAACCCAGACTGTGTCGTTGAAGTATTTAACCGGTTTTTACCATTGAATATTTTTGCAGATTATCTCTCAAGCACTTTTAAATGTCCCTCTAAAGTTGATCTGTCCAGCACTTTCAGAGCCTATTTTCAAGTATTAACGGTTTTGTAACTTCTGTAGATTTTAAAGGGTTTCCTAAAATGAATGATTATTGTTTCTGGTGGACCACTGTGTCAAAAACCACATGCAAAAAGTATCGGACAGAAATCTAATGCTGTACTTTTGAGCTGAATTGTTTGAAGACCAGCTTTTGTTTGTTGAATCTGATGGTTTGGTGGGAAATCTTGGGAATGCTGGTGTTTTTAGACTGATGCATTAAAATGGTTCTGATGGCACATCATACATTATTATTACTGGAGTCATCTGTTCAGTTGTGTTATTTATTTTCATTTGTATCAATGTTTTTCTTCTCTTTTAGTACCAACACTATTGTAAAAGTGTTGTAGTCTTATTCTGAATAGAGAATTATGAAGGCCACAAAACAGAAACAGTTCAACAAACTTTTTTTGTTTGGAATTTTAAGGATGATATACAGTTATTTTATTACAGGATTGGTGAAATTATGATTCTGCATCACACAGGACTGTAGTAAACATATTACACATGAATAGAGATAACATCATTTCAAATAACCTGCACTGTTTGTCCGTGAATAAAGCACTTTTTGAGTGTTTTCTTCCGCAGGCACTTTGATGTCAACAAAAGATGGGAAACGCCTCTCCTCCCCTTTAAAAGTTGGTAACCCATTTATTGGGCTTTTTATCGACGTACAAGCACAACTGCGTTCAGGATAACTCAAACAACACAACGTATCGTTAACGCGTCAAGATAGGCTATTCTTAACAAAAGTCGTTTAATTTCATACTAAGACATTCGGTTTTAGTCACTGAAGTTGCATGAAAGAGTCGAGAGAGAGTGTGTGTGTTTGAGTCATTTGAAGTGCACCAGCAGTGAGGCGTTATTTCATGACATCAATGGCAGCGATCAGGAAGTTAAGTTTGATCGACAGACGCGCTAGCCAATCGGAATCAATGACACGAGCTCGGCGGCCCGCCTTAGTCGGAAACCAACCAATGGGCGTTCAAAGCCACAGCTTCCGGTTTCTCTCAAATCATGTTTCATTGTACGGCGTACATTGTTGAGATGAGCTCGACTGTTGCTCGGTAGTTCGGCGCGCGTCAGATCCGCAGTTTCCGCGCACACACGTTCGGTGCTGCTCGCGGGACCGAGTCCGGTGATCCAGTGAAGCCCCGGGATCTTTAGCGGCCCGGGTCCGCAGTGTTGCTGAGATTCTCCGTCCGTTGGTTCGCAGCGCGTCGAGCTCGGTAAGCTGCGTTGACGTCGCGTCGCTTCTGCCCGGTATGAACGGGTTCAGCACGGAGGAGGACAGCCACGACGGGCCGCCCGCGCCGCCGTTCTTCGGGCAGAGCTGCTGTCTGATCGAGGACGGGGAGCGGTGCGGGCGTCCGGCGGGCAACGCGTCCTTCAGCAAGCGCATCCAGAAGAGCATCTCGCAGAGGAAACTCAAGCTGGACATCGACAAGAGCGTAAGCCGCTTCTCTCGAACACCGAGCCGCTTTTCTCAAGTGTAATTTCTGTGTAATTATCGATGTAACAGTTATATAGATTAATTATGGTAGCACTTCACTTTACCGTCCTGTTCTCCATGTACAGTACCGGTAAAAAGTTTGGAGGCTACTATTTGTTATATTTTTAAAAGAGTTTCTTCTGCTCACGAAGGCTGCATTCATTTGATCAAAGATACAGTATAAACAGTGAAATATTATTATAATGTAAATCAGCTGTTTTCTATGTGAATATATAGTAAAGTGTAATTTATTCCTGTGATCAAAGCTGGATGTTCAGCATCATTACTCCAGTCTTCAGTGTCACATGATCCTTCAGAAATCACTCTAATATGAGGATCTGATGCTTATTTCATGATGTGTTTGTCCTGTCAGTGTTTGCCGTCTCCTGCCGTTCTCTTCCAGGCGTCTTCATGATGCTCTTGTAAATATAATATAGTTTTCTAAACTGCGTCTTCAGTCTGTAGATGCAAACACTGACAGCCATGTCATTAAATATAATTTCTTTGGTAATATGTGCTTGAGTCCAGTTTCCTGCATATTAAATAAACCTAAACCTTGTTTTCCGTGTAGGTTCGGCATTTGTACATCTGTGACTTCCACAAGAACTTCATCCAGAGCGTTCGCAACAAACGCAAGAGGAAGACCAGCGACGACGGCGGAGAGTCACCTGATCATGATGTCGAAGTCCCCGAGGTAATATATCAGTGTTTCTGAACTCCATTGTAGTCTCGAGTTTCTTCCGGGAATGAACACGTCACAATATTCCTCATTATAATAATTCATACGCAGAATAAAGGGGCGGGGCCTGGTTGAGTTAGTTAGTAGTGTGTTAAACTGGCGGTTATGGAAAGGGGCGGGACATTTCCCAAACACACTCGAAGGGCTCGACCAATCACAACACACTGCTCCAGCCGACCAATCAGAGCACAGTGTGCTTTCAGAAGGAGGGGCTTCATAGAGACAGGAATTAAACAGAGCGTTACTGACAGACTGGGAAGAGAGGAGCCGCAACAATGGAGAATATGAGGAGAATAATCAACATTCAAGCAGGAAAACCCGTTCTAGTAGAGCCTGGAAACAACATCAAGACTTCGTAAAAGGGCACAATATGGCCTCTTTAAATCTTCTGTCTTTTCAGGGCTATTTAGGTTTGTAATGTAAATGCTGCATTAATACACACTCTGTTTGCTCCAGCTGTAGAGTGTGATGTTTATTAAAGTAAAGACTGAGAAAAGCAGAGCGGTTAGTAGTGTTGGGACGGTCAGACGTCTAGCGGCACACATTGCAAACGGCTCATTCGTCTCAACTCAAGAGGTTCCCGGCTCAAAGTTTTGATTTTTACATAGAGATTGGTATGTTTATTAGTTAAATCTGTTGATTTTAGCAATCTTTGTTGCATTATGCCAACGGTGACAGTTCAAAAATGGGGAAAAAGCTCTTCTTGTGTAATTTTCCCCCAAGTTTGCATGCCTATAACTCAAGAAGTATTAAACCTATCTTAATATCCTTTTAGATTCTGGTTCTTAACAAATTTTTACTTTTGGTATCTTCATTTTAAAGGCCCTATATGGTTCAATCTCAGAGATATGGAGATCTTAATGTGGGTCCATGTGTAAATTGGTAAACTATATACACATTTTCAGTGGTCAAAAACCAAATGTGGGTCACTTTAGTGTTGTCAAAAGTACCAAATTTGGTACCAAGTCGATACTGAAATTTCCGCTGTTGAGCGGAATCATAAACACCTCTGATTGGCTGTTGTGGTCACGCGCTCATCGGATATGTCTATGATTGGCTACGATGATCAGCGCTTCAAAAACATGTTGTAAATATACAGTATCTCACAAAAGTGAGTACACCCCTAACATGTTTTGAATTTTTTTGGTACATCTTAAGGGACAATACTATAGAAATGAAACTTTGATATATTATAGTGTAGTCAGTGTGCTGCTTGTATAGCAGTATATATTTACTGTCCTCTGAAAATAACTCAACATACAGCCATTATCGTCAAAATAGCTGGCAACAAAAGTGAGTACACCCTAAGTGATGATAGATGTACGTCGTTTAACCATGCAAAGCCACACGTCCGATTCATCATGTTCATGTTTTTGTCTGCTGAGATGAGACTGATGAGACTAAGATGACCTTGTTTGGATCAGATGGTGTCCAGCATGTGTGGCGACGCCATGGTACTCCTCACCAGGGACATGGTGTCTTTCCTACAGTCGAGCATGGCGTTGGTAGCATCATGTTCTGGGGCTGCTGGTGCTGGGGAGCTGAGGGAAAACATGGACTCCAACATGTACTGTGGCGCTCCCTTCAGAAACTGGGCCGAACGGCATGATAACGACCCCAAACACACCGCCAACACTGCTGTGCTGAGGAAGCTGAATGAATGAGGCATTTATATAGCGTGTTTCATCAATCAATCAGCATCATTTACACAGCCCTTTACAACACTCAAGGTGAACCAAAGTAGCCTGGGAAAACCCAGACAACTTCCGGCAAATTTAGATTTGCTCTGAAAGTTAGTCTGGCGAAGAGCTCATTCAAGCCTATTTCCAATCCGCCGAAATCGAGGCACCAATCAGATACGTTGGGGCGGGCTTTGCACGATGACAACAGCGCTGGGATTTTGAAGCAGATTTTGTAGCCTACATTACAAAGATGGATGCCGCCGTCGAACATCACTCGTTCCAATCAGCTATCGCGTCTGTTTTAAGCGATTTGAACGTTTCCTTTTAGTTAAAAACCAAGCAAAGAACAACACTCGGAGATGTGTCTCCGCCGCTCTGCATACGTCATCTCCTTCATCGCTCTGATTGGGTTTAGGTCTATCCGCCACGTCCGTTGGTGACGCCCCTCTGGAAATGATTTGTCTATTACGCTTTGCCAGACCATAACTCCGTTACAACTGAGAATGCTCTGGTTTTAACCAGGCTAGAACCAAAGTGCTTTCCAGAGAAAAAAATAACACACCAGCTACAGGTGGAGAGGATAGAGAGTGATAGAGCCAATTCAGTGGATGGGAGTTATTAGGAGGCCCTGATTGGCGAGGGCCATTGGAGGGAATGTGGCCAGCACACCGGGGTTACACCCTTACTCTTTACAAGAAGTACCATGGGATTTTTAATGACCTCAGAGAGTCAGGACCTCGGTTTAACGTCTCATCCGAAGGACGGTGCTCTTTGACAGTAGTGTCCCCATCACTACACTGGTGATGGAGTGGCCAAGTGTGTCTCCAGACCTGAACCCTATTGAGCACCTGTGGTGATCCTCAAGCGGACGGTGCAGAAGCGCCATGTGTCCAACATCCATCAGCTCCGTGATGTGGTCATGGAGGAGTGGAAGAGGGTCCCAGCAACAGCCTGTGCAGCTCTGGTGAACTCCATGCCCAGGGGATTAAGGCAGTGCTAGATAACACTGGTGCTCACACACAATATTGACACTTTGGACACCGTTTTGACATGTTCACTTAGGGCATGGGTCGGCAACCCGCGGCTCTAGAGCCGCATGCGGCTCTTAAGCGCCGCCCTAGTGGCTCCCTGGAGCTTTTTCAAAAATTTGAAAATGGAAAAAATATTTTTTGTTTTAATATAATTTCTGTAGGAGGAAAAACATGACAAACATTCTAAGTTTTTCAACGTTGTAAAAATGTGTATAATAAATATTTAATTTCAACATTTCTGTCAACGAAGAATTTACGTCATAGACTGTGACACACGTGTCTGTCAGATCGGCGTGATGCCAGACCAGTGGCTGACAAACAAACAAACTAACCGGCGGGTGTGTCATGGGCCATGGACCCCAAGGGGAAAAAGAGAAAGATAGCTGAGCACTCCCAACGCAATAGAGTGCGGCGCGGGACTAGATTTGATGGCCGAGCGCGGGCGCGGGCGCGTGCGGTAATGCACTCACTCTACTAAAACAAAATAGAAACGATTTGCAGGCCAGAATTTCTATTTTTAACATGTTTGCAGCGTTGAGCGATGTAGCCAATCACAGACATATGTGTTGATTTCTTGAACGCAATGGCTTTTTTGTTCAGTGCTGAATTCTGTATCCTGGCAAATCCTCTAATTATAACGAACAAAGTGTGGATATTATGAAAGATTCATTGTGCAGTCAGCTTCATTGATAATAACAGAAATGTGTGAGATCGCGATGAACTGTCAGCTTTTTAGGAATTATTAAGAGAGCGCACTTTGCGCGGATTCAGTCATGCCATACCATGCACGCAGTAAACTGCTTGCTTTTATGTTAAATTAACAGTGGTTTGTGTTTTAATGCTTTAATAACAAATAATTTATCAGGAGGATGTATGGTGGCGACACGTAGGCTAACTTGAAAGTATTTGGAGGTACAGAAAAAAGTCTATTTGCAGGCGGGAGCGGGACAAAACATAAATGTTGCGGGCGGGAGAAAAAAAGTTGAGAACGTCAGTTATAATGACCCACGCATTAAAAAATGGTCGGGTTAAAATCAGGCTCGGGCTCATAATTACGTTTAATGTGTCGGGCCGGGCCGGGCTTGATTTTTTGGGCCCGATCTAAGCTCTAATTTATAGCCTACTTATCATTTTGATACTAATAAAGCTAATATACCACTTACAGCATGTGTTGCCTTCATTATAAGGCTTATATAAAGCTTTTAATTTTTTGCGGCTCCAGACAGATTTAAAAAAAAAAAATTGGGTCCAATATGGCTCTTTCAACATTTTGGGTTGCCGACCCCTGACTTAGGGTGTACTCACTCTTGTTGCCAGCTGTTTTGACGATAATGGCTGTATGTTGAGTTATTTTCAGAGGACAGTAAATATATACTGCTATACAAGCAGCGCACTGACTACACTATAATATATCAAAGTTTCATTTCTATAGTATTGTCTCTTTAGTAGATATTCTAAAATGTGAGGGGTGTACTCTCTTTGGTGAGATACCGTACATCAATGATGCTCTTCAGCGAGCGCTTGCGTAGATACACAGGGCAGCGTTTGAAGCCAGACGGACCGGTCCACTGGCACTGATGGATGCTTGCTTGCGCTTTCAAAATACTTGCAAAACACTTCCATGTGCTCTCAAACGCTCCCGTGCGCTGACCATTGTGCAGCCAATCACAGACATATCCGATGTGCGCGTGAACAATGGCCAATCAGAGGTGTTTACGCTCAAAGCGGCACATTTAAGTTTCAGTATCGACTTGGTACCGAAGTCGGTACTTTTGACAACACTAGGTCACTTTGCACTGCTGATACTTTTTGCATTTGAAGAGGAATATCTGAACAACAAATAATGTTCAAACTAGTATTGTGTTTTTCTATCAGCTCAATTGCATATAATATACCTGTCTGAGTGCCATACATATTCTTTTTTTTTTTTTTAAAGCTCCATGTTCAAATTGTTGAATTTGACCCATTTTCAGTGATCGAAAACCCCAAATGTAGGTAACTTTTTAACCTCTTAACCTTCTCCAGAGCGTCGGCGCACTGAAGCGTTTTTTTTTTTATTTAGTTCAAATATACTATCAGATTTAATGTTATACCTTGACAAACTATACATCATTAAAAAGATATAAGACTCAAGATTCAGTATTTGACTACTATTGTATTCTGAGAAACTTATAGTGACAGTTATGTCTTAATTTGTGTCAGGAGTTATGAAATGAAAAAAATGAGTCGATACCTTTAATATGAATTATGAGCGTCAGCTGGTCCATTCATAAAAAACACTCCGTGCTGTCGTCATGACAGCGATTCACAAAACAACGTCCCTGAGGGCTTTTAGCTCAACAATGTGCAGATGTGGAGAAATATTGATATATTCTCATAGATTCACATCATATTTCTATAGACAGGAATAATATTTATTGAATTTATACCCAAATGCGTCGATGTAATCATAATGATCGCTTCTTACTGAGATGTGTTGTGTTTTCCATTCATACCAATAGCATGGGGGCGCTATTATGTCCAATAAAAGTCCATATATGGATCATGAAGAAGACCCATAGTCATGTGACATTCCAGGACGTCACTGAGTGATACAGAAAGTAGATGACAGAGATCGCTGGAACATGCAGATAAAGATGTTTTGAAGACAATAAACATGATTGCAATGATATTTGAGTTACCTGTGTTCTTCAATCCATGCCAGGTATTTCATAATAATAGATTATATTTATAATGTAATGCTAATCGATATAGATTTCATCATCGTTCAGAACACTAAATAATACATTTTCTGTCTGATTTTTTTTTTATCTGAAGCCAAGTTAGATCACAGAAGATTATTTAAAACACTCGACTTGCGTTATATAGTGAGTTTGGAGCGCAAACATAGTTTTAATCTCATAAATGGTCGTGTATTGATGGTGTGCTAAGCTAACATGCTAGCGAGCCCAGGCGCACCTGCCACGAGCAGTTATTGTTTTATGATTTTTTTCTAAATAGGAATGCTTACTGAAATGTTTCAGTGCATTTGATACCAGTTTCAAATATTTAGTGAGAACTTTGATAAAAGAAATTAGGGTTTGAAACCCTATGAATAGCTTGTGAATAGCCAGTCGTTAGTAGCTATAATGCAGACAAAAGAAATGCATATTTAGAGCCATAATAACCAGTCTGGAGAGGTGTAAATGTGTGCAGGGGAGACTGAGACTGAATGGGGCACCACAAAACAATAGAGACAATAGACTGAATAGATGACTCAGAAGATGACTAAACATCAGTTTGCTAATAGAGTCTAATCAAAATAAAGTAATTTGACATGATCTTGAAAAACATTTAATTAAATACAGAGCTTTATACTTATCATTTTCAGATTTTAAATATAAAATGGTCAGACATGTGGCTTTAGCTGCAGTGCATTTCTAGATTGCTCCAGGGCCAACTTCAATTTTATTTTCATGAAGATGTTTCATAAAAATAAATTTCTAATAACTTTACAAAACTTTGAAGCTATTTAAAATTGTTTTTTTCATTATGACAATAATTAATTCTACATTTACAATAAACAACCAGGTGTCAGCTTTCAAATGAGATCATACTTGTGCTTTTAGTGCAAAGGGTTCATGAACTGCATCTGTTTTAGTTTGGGTATGTCATTTCTGGGGATTTTTCAAAAGTGGGCTTGAAGCTTAACAGGTTAAACCGCTGATAGTTATTGTTTAAAGTAGAATGTCTGAAGAACAAATAACACTGAATCTAGAAATGTATCTCGTTTCCCTCTATCCTCTATAGAATTGAATGCAGCAACACCTCTCTGAGTGCCAAAAACAACACATTTATTGAAGTTTACATGTCTTAAAGTTTAATTCAAGAAGTGTTAATGTTAAAGAAAGATATGACCCTATATGGTGCAATCTCATATATATAGGGATGTCAATGCGTTAACGTAGTTATGATACTGTGTATTTGAACTCGACTTCAGAAGCTGTTAAAACAAACAAAATCCTTTCTTTAAATTCCCCTCAAACTGATTCAAATATAGATTCTTATAAAGACACTTTTGAGGTCAAGTTAATGTGCCTGAACTGGACCATTTCCGTGTATTTTTGGCACTCAGAGAGGTGTGTTGTATAGAATTGTTTTGATAGAGGTTAATACATTTGAAACGTTTATTCTTTAAACGCTTTCCTTCATGGCTTCTAACAAAGACTTTATTAAAATCCCTATGGGAAGAATATTTCTGTACCCAGCGGCACGGGAAGCGTGGGCGACCCCTGGTGCAGCAGAGGCTGCTGGGATTGCTGCAGTGATGATGTGTGTGACTGTAACTGTACTGATGTGTGTGTGTTCTGGGTCAGGTGGATCTGTTCCAGCTGCAGGTCAACACACTGAGACGCTACAAGAGGCACTACAAAATCCAGACCAGACCTGGACTCAACAAAGCCCAGCTAGCAGAGGTACTGCCGAAAACTGAATATAATGAATTTCAAAAACTAACAAAAATCTTTTTTTTATATCACAGAAATTGCTGAAGCTTTATTTAAGTTTGCAAACTCAGGTGTTGGAATTATTCGCTGTTTTTTTTAAATGCTCATGATAACAATACCATACATGTTCGTCATATACTGTATTACCATATATAGCCAACAGTTGCAATCGAAATTGTTCAACCCCCGTTGCAAATCAGGTTTATTGGCAACATTTACAGACTTTCAGCTGTTTGCAATGAACAAATCAAACTAAAGTAATTGAAATAGCTCAACACAACAAATGATTTAAGTGGTTTCCCCAAATACAACTGAAAATGCAACTTTTAATTAGAGATGCACCGAGTGACCGGAATCGGCCGATTTCCACGTGATCGGCGACCGGCCGGTCAGTCTGACATAATCCGATTTTATGCCGGTCAAATGCACTCGGGCGCCGCATGATTAACATCGCGCAACATCAGCATCACACGTGCACACTGAACGCGCACTTGTAGGAAACCTCGTGAATTACGGCCGTTTCACACCGCAAGCGGGAGCAGCGCGTTTTTTTTTTGTTCGGCGTGCGTTAATCAATGAGTGCATTCACACCGGGAGCATGAGCGTCATCAGCGCAGGAGCGTCGAGCAGGAGCGTCGCGTGGGCCAACAGTGAAGCGCGGGTTTCGGCGCCGAGTCTATTTTTGCTGCGCTCCATTTAAGTAAAAGCACACTTTTGATGGACAAAATAAGTCAAGTCAAGTCATCTTCATTTATATAGCGCTTTTAACAATGAATTGTTTCAAAGCAGCTTTACAGAGATAAACATATAATTTAAGGCAGGGATTCCCAAAGTGTGGTGCGCGCACCCCCAGGGGTACGCGAGCTGTCACCAGGGGGTGCGCGAGAGGAAAAATGCAATGGCGGTCTGTTTTTTTAAATGAGATTTTTCCAATACAATAAAAAAAAAAAACATGAACAGTAAACATTTCCTTTGTAATCGCTTATATTTTAAATAAAAAAACTATTATTTATTAGTTTTTAATAGAAACGCATAAGACAGCTGCTGTCTTCTAAACACTGCTCTGCAGCCGCTATGCTATAATATGTCACGTTATCAACTTCTAAATTCAAATGTGCTTTCGCGCGTTGGCTGGCGCTTAGCCAGTGCTGGCATAGCCTATATCACAACTATTGAGTGTTTTCAACCACATAATGTTTATTTTAAGTTTCACACATTTAAATACACATAAGTAGGCTACTAGCAAAACAATGATTTTTATTTTGCTGATATCTATGGATAAGGAAATAATAATCCTTTTCATTATAAGATGACACGTTGTATTCATATCAGATACACATGATTGTGTAGAACGTAGCTTCACATTTTACCCTATTCTTCTCCCAGTTCACCAGCCTCCTACGTTCATGTATTTCGTGAGAAGGGGAGAAACTGACGTGTTGTAAATCCAACAGATCCGATTCTTCTCTGAACTGTGGCACAAACTAACATGACGCCGCCCATCGCGCATACAGCTCAACTAACGCAATCGTTATGAAGGCGTTTAAACAACACAACGCGTCCACTTACACATATTTGACAATCGGAATATCAGTGTTTCATGCTATAGCTAATACATTTGTTGTGAATATTTTTGATAAAAAAGGGAAAATGACATAAAAGCAGATCCTCATTCATTCAGCGCTGTGTTGTGGTTGCGTTGTGTCCCGTGACAAGCAATGACGCGTCACCATGGAAACATTAAAGTGACAAATTCTAAATAACGGTCGCATTGGTGTGAAAGGGTTAAAGTCATGGTTAAAAGTGGAAGCTTGTGCGTACTGCGTAGCTTTGTTGCATTATATTGAAACTTTGTTGATGTTGTTATTGTCATGATGTGTGTTCTGGTTATTTGAGCATGATAAAACATGAGTCTTTATATGGCAATAAAACAAAGCTTTGTTGCGTTTTTTTTTTTTTTTTTAAGTGGGGATTGGGGGTGCGCAAACCCGGTTGGGACATAGAAGGGGGTGCGCAAAGAAAAAAGTTTGGGAACCGCTGATTTAAGGTAACAGATTGTTTTGGCGTTATAGCGGTTCTTGAATAATGTTACTTCCAGCTAAAGTTAACTTTGATTGATTCACCTCCGTCGAAATGATCAGACTTTAAACGCGAACCTGTGATTAACGCTGACGGCGTTCACATGCTCATTCAGAATTCTATAGTTATGTGCTTTTTAAAATATGTGCGCAGGTTTGTAATTCATACAACCCAGCCTAAACAAACTACTTTTCTTGCCTATAAATTTTGATACAGAATTTTGTTTTATTTTATCACTTTGGGGTACGCGAACCGGAATTCACAGCGCTTTATCTGTAGAGAGGGAAAGGGATCCTCCATAGGGAGAGGATAGTGGATTATTATTATATTAATAAGTATGATTTCATCCAAAAAGTGCCAGAATTTGCATGTCTGGTGTGTTTTAAGAACTGAAGTAGGCTAGGCTATGTCAGAAAGAAAATGAAGACTCAAAAATATTTATAGAAAATGTACCCATTTAAACTAGTTTTTATTATTTCCCAATCGTTTCCCTGCACATGCTCCACTTGTCCTGTTTAGCCTGGCTGGACATGTGTCAGATGAGAGAAGAACTGTTTGAGAAATATAACTTGCCATTGATGTACAAGTGATTGCAATAGGCGTGTGTCTGTGTCTGTGTGTGTGTGTGTGTGAGAAATATCTTTATACTGCAAGGCTATATTTATTTTATTTTTATTTGTTATTTATATATTATTTTATTGCCATTACCTGTTTTCATACAGAAGTTTAGTTTGCTAAATATCAAATTGTTTTAGTTGGATATTGTATGTGAAAAGAGGGAAATGGTTCTTCCATAACACTGCACTTGTGTGTGAATTTCCCACACCAGGAGTCATTTATATAGTTCTATTTTATAGCGATTATCTGTAAAAAAAAAAAGTTCTATGCAAAATGTTCTATTAAAGCAGTGGTCTCAAACTCGCGGCCCGCGGGGTGATATTTTGTGGCCCCCTACTTGACATTAAAGTTTAATGTTAGTGCGGCCCGTCGTTGCGTGTGCCGCGTTTTAAATTTTTTTTTTTTTTTTTTATCCCTTTTGGGCTACCATAGATAGTCTCATGACAGCTTACGGTGGGTTTGTTGTCAATAGTTGTCATAGACAACCGCGAAGTACAAACTTACTGGAAAAAATGAGTGCGTCGCTTATGAGCGCGCTTGGCGCGCGCCTACATTTGAAATAACGAACTTGAGCAAGCAAAATATGTGAGCGCGATATGTGAACATGCCACGAGCTACTGGTAGCTCGCGAGCGACGTGTTGGAGACCCCTGCTCTAAAACAATGTGAGAATAATCATTTTGAGCTTTGAGATGTGTCCAGCAGGTTGATAAGAAGGTTTGCTTTGATTTGTGCAAAGTCAGTAATTTGCCTGAGACACTGTACATGTGTAGAAATAATTAAATAAGGCTGAATTCACATTTAGCGCCCAAAAACACGTAGAAAACGCTAGGCGCGCCGCGTTCTAATTTTTCCAAAGCGCTAGGGCGGTTGCGCTCCGTAGGCGTCTGTCGTTGCTAAGCTACGGTGCGCTTGCGGCATTCTGAAATGTTTTTATCTCGATGCGGCGCGCACGCGCTTGGAAAAAACGAGCGCGTCGCACCACGACCGCGTCGCTTCCATTATGAGCGCGCATACCGCGCACCTACATTTGAAATAACGAACTTGAGCGCGCAAAAGACGCGATATGTGAACAGGCCCTAAGACGGGCAGACATGACTGCAAATATTTGTATTTCAAAAGCAATAATCGTTTTTCTAAGTATAATAAAAGGAAATGTGCCTTCCAAAAAAAACATTCAATATCATTAATGTGTTGTATAAAGAAAATAAAAAGGACATAAGCAAATATAAGTATCACAAATATGTGTTATAAGGAAAAGAAAAATAATGTTTGTAAAATGAAGTATCACAAAGATTTTGTGTATAAGGAAAATGAACTTCAACTGTCAGAAGGACAGCTCATGAAGATTGGATCAGTTGTGCTCCTTTTTTGGAATACTTGAATAGTATTTTTTGTGGAATACTTGATGCGGCCCATCCTGACCACGACTCTACCTCCAGCGGCCCCCAGTTAAGTTGAGTTTGAGACCCCTGTATTAAAGAGAAGATAGAAAATAAATATTTTTGTGTGCTGTAAAGTGGTTTGAAAAAATGAAATAGGAATCGGCTAAAATCGGTATCGGCAGGTCAAACTCAAGTAAAAATCGGGATCGGCCTAGAAAATTGTAATCGGTGCATCTCTACTTTTAATTCAATTCAATTCAAATTTATTTGTATAGCGCTTTTCACTAGGGATGTCCCGATCACCCGATCGGAAATCGGGCCCGATCACGTGGTTTCAGACTCGATCGGAATCGTACGTTACCTCCCGATCAGGACTCGGAGATATGTAAATTAGGGGTGTAACGGTACATGTATTCGTAATTATTGAACCGTTTCGGAACGAGGCTTCCGGTTCGGTACGCATACAAACCGAACGATTCCTAGGACCATTTTTCCTGCTGACAAAATCCGCGCTGGCGCGATCACCACAACGTTGCGCAACATGAAATGGCAAACGTAATGAAAGCGGAACGAAACTGCTCTACTCATTATATTGTGCTTTACGGACCATTTATCAGTTCGGACCAGCAGCATCTGTGCAGCGCGAGATCAAGCGAAGAGATCCAGTGGAGAAAACATTTGAGTTCGCCACTGAAGTAATAACATCGCTGCGAGATCTAGTGAGAAGCATTCACATTTCTCCGTTATTAACCGTAGATCTCTATTAGATCAAACAGCGCTGACGTGGACACCAGGAGAAACATTGTGCCGTGAATGAACATGGATTTAATGTTGCACTTCAAAACTCAAATATTATTTAAATATATATTTAAATGTTATTTTTAATGTG